CCCCCCCCCCCCCCCCCCAAATAAAAAAATAAAAAATAAAAAAATAAAAAATCTTTAAATATTTTGAAATGAGTTCTCGATATCTCCATATCTTAATATTTTTAAGTCGGTTCGGGTCGGGTCTGGTCGGTTTGTTCGGTTTTTACTTAGGAAAAAAATGTTATGTCCAAATTCAATTTCACCTATAATCTATTAATAAAGAAAGAAGTCTCTTACATTTTAATTTATTGAAATTCATAAACTATTAAATGCTACTGAATATTAGATGTAGAAATCAAAATCTTATTCCTACCAAAGATTATATACATTTTTTTAGTGAAAACTTACATATAAAATTAAAGTGATCTCAATCTAATAGACAAAGTAAATAAAAAATATATAATAACTTGGATGTTGGGTATAGTTTCTATAAAATTATAAGTCTGATCCAAAGAAAAGTCTGATCCAAAAATATATCAATCGAGGAGAAAAATCCGAAATATGTTAGAATCAAAATTATGGTTTAAGTTTCTTACCTCCAAAGTGGAGTGGTCCAAGGTAGAAGAAGCAAAATATGTAATAAAGAGGGATAGAGATCTAGAGATAATGAAAAACCCTAGAATTGGAGAGGACACTATTCTTGGGGTATTTTATCGCTATCAGGTCGCGTGTAAAAAATATCAAGCTGCAGAGAAGTAACTCTATATGAACTATAATGGGTCGAGTTGAAAAAACTTCAACCCAACCCGAACCAAACTCTAATAAAAATCTAACCGAACTGTTAATTTTCTGCCGGTTCGATCGGTTTGTTCAGTTTGAACCGAACTATGTTCACCCCTAACCCAAATCTTTTAAGTCCTTTTAATTTGTCTTTCTATTTAGCACCAGGGTGAAAAGATTTAGGGATAATTTCAAATCTCTTACGCATTTTAGGGTACTAGTTTCAAAATAAGAAGACCTGGAGGACTAATTTAAAAACATTGAAGATTTAGGGGACTAATAATAGAAAACCCTTTAATTATTTATGAGAAAAATAATCATTTTAATAAAATAGTTCAATTACTTCCTAAAAGTTTGTGGAGGAGAAAATGTCTATAATATAGAAGCTATAACAACAATTGCCATGATTAGATAGTAATTCTAATGGTTATTTGAGCTAAATACTCTAAAGTTTATTCCATTTTTAACTATAATACTCCGTAGCTATTGTTGCCCAAAAACTCTAAAAGTAACTTGGTACCTCAAAGTTTCTCTTACCCAAAAAATACTCTAAAGTCCAACAAACTTTAACTTTAATCTCGAAGTTTAACAAAAAAAAAAAAAAAAAACTTTGATACCTCAAAAATGAACATTGGGAATTTTTTGTGCACAAGAAAATTTTAGGGTGTCAAAGCTAATCCACTTCAGCCTGAAATATTCTTTGGGGAAAAAACCCCTTAAGGTATCAAAGTAAAAAAATGAGTTAAACTTTGGATATCTAAGTGTAAATAATGCTAATTTTAAAAGTAACTACGATTTGGAGGGTGCAAGCGGAAAAGGCAAAAAGAAGGGGGAAAAAAGAAAAAGAAAAAAAAATGAAGCTCCTAAGACGGTGCTATATGAAATAACCTATTTCAGGTTGGGCTTATTAACAAAAGTTTTATCACTCTAAAACCCTAGAAATATACACCTTTCTCTCTCTCTTACCTCGTCGTCTCTGCTTCGCCTCCTTCGATGGGCAGAAATCTCGAAGTATCCATGGCGCATCGCGACGAAGCAGACGACCTCGAGATCCCAACCAACGAGAAGAATCACGATAAGAAATCAAAGAAAGAGAAGAAGAAGAAGCGCAAAAACAACGAGGAATCAGTCAACGGCGAGCCCGCCGCTGACCAAACCCTTACCCTAGATTCTACAGCTAACGAAGAATCAAAATCTAAGAAGAATAAGAAGAAGAGAGAATCTACTGAATCGGAGCTTGAACCCTCGGAAGACTCCGAGAAAAAGAAGAAGAAGAAGAAGAAAGAGAAGGATTTGAGTGGCGCAGAAGAAGAGGGGATTAATGGTGTTGAAGGAGTGAAGGGAGTGGTGGTGACCGGAAAAGATACTAAGGATTCCAAGTACAAAGCTTTGGATTCATTCTCGGATTCGGGTCTTTCGGCTGAGGTTCTCGCTTGCTGCAAGAATTTCAGCAAGCCGTCGCCGATTCAGGCGAATTCTTGGCCCTTTTTGCTTAATGGTCGGGATTTGATCGGCATTGCGGCAACGGGGTCAGGTAAAATTGATGGTCTTACATCTCGTTTGGATGGAGTTTAATGAATGAAAGTTAAAAGTGAAATTTTAATTTTACCTTGTTTGGGAGTTTTTTTTAGGGGATAGAGGATGGAATGGAAGATTAAATTTTCTTCCATTTTCCTCCCCTCCAATTGGGGGTAGAGGATGGAATGGAAACCATGTAAAATTTTAGAATGTGATAGGACAATTATATTCTTATGACATTAAAATCAATGGCTAAAATATACTCTCATCCAATATGTAAGGATATTTATATAACTTTGTATATATTCACTTCACTTCTCTCCTCTTTATTGGAACTTAAACTTACTTCCGTTTTCCCTTATTTACTAAACTCCCAAACAACATTTTATATTTTAACTTTCATTCCCTACCTTTCCTTTTTATTATTTTAACTTTCTGTTCCTTCCCTTGGTAAACTCCCAAACGAAGCATAAATTGTTTTGACAATGTGTTTTGTTAATTTTTTCTACAATTGGTTATTTTTTTGATCTGAAATTTGTTCAAAATTTTAGCTTTTGACTTAGTTCAGTATTTCCAGCTGATAATATGTCTTCCCCCCCCCTGAAATTAGAGTAAGACAGCTGTCTTCTTACTGGGGTTTTGGATGTCTTCTAATTGACTGCCCTATTGTCAATTTCTTGCTATGCGTCATAGCTCATGTTGTAGTACTTAAAAGTAGTGAGAATATTGATCTTTTCATATATAGACATATGGGAACTACTATCATTTAACCCATAGCCTTGAAACTTGTCTCTCAATAGTAGTAGGTGGTTGTTTCTATGTTATGTTATAATGTTTCTATCCAGTTCTCCAGTTCTGGTTCTTTGTGTTGCAGCGATGATAGTAGTAAACTATGTCATTTAGTTCACAGCCGACCATGTTGTTTCTTTTTGTATGCAAAGCACACATACATTCAAACCAAGTATTTCCTTCTATGTTACTCATAGTTAATGTATGTATTATAGGCAAGACTCTAGCATTTGGTGTTCCGGCCCTCGTGCATATCTTGCAGAAAGATGACAAAAAAACATCAAAGAAAGCAGTTCCACGTTGCCTGGTACTATCACCTACAAGAGAGTTAGCTCAGCAGGTACGTCTAATCATTTTCGGTTGAATATTTTTGTTCCTACATGGAAAAGCGGGGGTGTTTAATACTTCTTTATGTGGCAACTAGAAAAGGATGCAGAAATTTAAACAAGCATCCCGTAGTTGAAGTATGAATATAATGGCCTCCCTATGTTGAATAGAGCACTAAGTTGTCGTAGATATGTTTTATGGCTATGTGCAAATATTTCACATGTTTAATCTCCACAAAACTAGTTTAGAAGTCTCTGGGTTGGATGGACAACTTGGAGTATGTTCAAATAGCTCCATATTTTCACCTGTGTGAAATACCACATGAGCAGGCTAAGACAATGTATACCCATAAAGCCATGCTGGATGAATGTTTAAAAGCATGCATCTGCCAGTTAAGACTGATATAAGTTTTTTGTTAAAATAAATTGGTATAAGCTTTGGTGCTGGAGTCAATTAGAATGTGCTCTTACACCAAATATTCCAAATCAATGTGGGGTTTTGGATGATAGGGCTCTTGTTTACACGTCAAGTCTATCCATATTATACAATACAGAGGTTATAGTACAATCTGGTTTACTTCAATGCTACATTCAATGCTACAGGCAATAGCCTAGGTCCCAATCCTTTACTTATTCCTGGGTGAATATTCATTTTTATATAACGGTTTATTTCAATATAAGTGATTTGTATGTAATCCTGGAATAATGATTTGATCGGAAGCGACACATTTCTTTTCACATAAATCCTGTAATTGTTATTCCTTCATTCATAGAGTTTGCTTTAAACTGGTATACGTTTCTGATATGAAGTTCACTTTGATGACAGATTGCAGATGTCTTATGTGATGCTGGGTCTCCTTGTGGCATCAAATCAGTTTGTTTGTATGGTGGGACCAAAAAGGAGCCGCAGATATCTGCTCTGAAGTCAGGAGTTGTAAGATACCTATGAATGTTATCCTGCATTCGTTGTTGGTGCTCCTTCATTAATTTCTAAGATAATTGCATCTTATTATCCCTTCACTTTAAATTTGTGCATATTCTCATTCTCCCATTTGATCATTGTATGAAAGCTTCAGTCTGTCAATAGCTATGGCAAGTTTAACCATAAACTATCAAGTACTCCCTCTGGTCGATTTTGGATGATGTTTAAGGCTCACACAAACTATTAAGAAATTCATGCTACTTTTCAACTAAACCAAAATCTGTAAACTTTGGTTGCATACTTCTTTATTTGTCAATCTCATTGGTAGCACTTTTGTTAACTTTAGTACTTGTGAAGGATGGAGTGGTAAAATAGTCAATAGATTAGCATTGACTCCCAAGTGTTACTCTTATTGTTAAAAAGCCATAAGAATGAGCTCATTATTCATTTTTATCTATGAACTGAACTGCTTATTTAAATATAAAGTACTCCCTCCTTTATACATTTTATAAATATTTGTCTGTACTGGATTAACTAACTTATGCTTTTTATCAACCAAATGCATCATAACGTGAACTTGTAGAGTCCTATAACTAATATGTAAAATATAAATAATAATTGTCTTAAAATTTGTAAGATATATTTAGAGGATCGATTCTTTGCCATGACTTACTGTTCATGGGTTCTTTGTTATGTTGCAAGTTCCTCGACTTTGGTTGTAAAAACGTTATGCTGAAACGTTAGACATGTCATTTTGGGTTGATTTCTGCAGAAAAGGTCTCAGATTCAACGTAACATTCTTTTGCATTTTTGTCTGATCTACATTAACCTTCACATGATTTAAAAAATGTGTCAATGTGTTCTTATAATCCTGGAATGGCTATCTAATATTTTTTGTTTCTTTATGTTGTTGAATTAGGTGGGGGATGGTACATTGTAAGTAGGGCCCCCCACGTGCTAGTGGGCCATTGCACTTTGCTATGGGGTTTGAACTGACTATCCTATATGATGGATTATTTACAATTTGTTGAAATCATTCCAAAATAAAGTTTGGGTTACAACTTACAAGCTCAGGAACTATGTGGCTTTAATATTTCCTATTTTGCAACACAGATATTTAATCGATTGTTCAAGTTTAGAACCCTTAGGTATGTTCCTTTTAGCAGCTTACCTATATACAGTGTTACCTCTTCAGGGTTAGAACTGAATGTTCTATACAAAGAATAATTTCCCATCCCTTCTTAACCCTGCTGTGGTCAAGTTTGGCTCTTAAAATTTAGGCGGCATATTCTTTTTTATGGTTTTATATCTATAACTGTATATAGACACACACACACACACACAACCATTGAACGACCTATGATCATTGCAGCACTTTATGCTTAATATATCTATGATTGTATATTTGTATAGATAATATCTATTTGTTGTGATATGAGTGCGATAAATGATTATAGGTTTTTGCAGCTGAAATAAATTCTTACTTCCTCTGATGTCATTTGTTCTCTTGCTCTTCTCAGGACATAGTTATTGGGACCCCTGGACGAATGAAGGATCTTATTGAAATGGGCATTTGCCGTTTGAAAGATGTGTCTTTTGTGGTGAGTGATTTTTGTTCTTCAGTATGCTCATTGATCCCCAACAATAGCTTAATGTGATTTCAGAGGCCTGCATATGTTTCCATATTTTTATTGGCAATACTTTCCTGACTCAGATCTTCCATCTTTTATCTCTTATAACCTTGTTTTTTTTAATAGCAAAGCTAGCATCCAGGGATAAGCAAATATAGATTTAATGACAACATCCTTCACATTTTTTTATATTTTGAAATATACACATTCCATGCGTTGATGGGAAACAATTTTTGGGCTTAGAAATCATTCATATTGTTAATTTTACTTCTTGATTTTTTTCAAGAAAGGCTGCCTAGGATATACTTAAAACTACACTTCAATCACGGTCTTTAAGACAGTTTAGGAGAAGGTGAAAAGAAAGGAGACGAAACAGGAAAGAGAGAAAGTGAGACCTTACCCCTAGTAAACTGACTCAAGTCATCTCTGTGCTTTTTTATGTCATTGATTTAAGCCTTGAAAGGCTTTATATTTAAACGAGAGCATCAAACCAAAATGAATACAACCTAATCTCTAATAATATCTAATCTGATAATGTAAGATTTTACTGGTTACACCATTATGTTTATATGAACAGCTACAGCAGTGCCAAGTTGATCTTGGACCCATGAAATGTGAGCGAGCTACTCTAACTAGCCTAAGATTAAGTTTGCAAATAAACCTTGAGACGAGAAATTAATTCTAATTACTAAATAGAACCCTAACTAAACTTTAGCTACATTAATTCATTTTCCCTCAGTGTAAATCTCGCCCTTAGCATGCTGCATGTATCTCGAGGAATCCTCATCCCTTTCTCCAGTATAGGATCTTGACAATCTGATATGAAAGCTAATGAGTATTCTTCTGGTTGTGTGAATATGTTGAACCCATGACATCATTAACCCACAGAGAAGCTTTAAATTTCACTGGAAGCATCTAGGAGTTGCATCTGAATCACAAAACCTTTTTGGGCAGGTTCATTAGTGGGCATGGCATATGAATGGAGATGACAATAAGATGAGTTCTGGGATAGGGAGCATTTGAAGCTTTCATTTCTCATATAGTCATATTCCATTATCGATTGTATCGACTTTAAAAGGATGTCACCATGAAGTGGATAGATTTACTCAGACTATGGTGGCAGATTATTTGGCAACAATTCACTTGAAGATGGGAGAAACAATTGGCTTGAAGATTGCTTCAATAATTATCAAAAGTAGTTGATGATATCATGATAGTAGCTTGAGTGATTGAATCTACCTAGGAACAATAGAAAGTGTGTTACCTTCTAATGACATAATGTAAGACACTGATCCATTTGTGCTTCAGGTCATTGAAAATTTTAGACTAACATGTTCGATCTTCTATGCGGATCTGTTCTAGTATGGTGAGTTTCTCTTCATAGTTCAGTGGCTAGAAATTTTTATCTAGTTGTTAGAATATGTTCTTTTATTTACTGAATTACTTTCCAAGTGGATTAGGAGTCTTGATAGTTTCTTCCAGTTATCATACTATATCTGAAAGTTTGACTCCAGATAATACAAATAATGTTGATTCCAGTACATGGTGAAACCTGGTATCCTTTGTATGTATATATCAGAAATACTATATTTCCGCATCATGTCTGCTTATGTCAAAGTTACTAAATGATGTAATGGTGAATTTTTTATTTTCCTCAATCAAAAGATGTGTATATATCCAAATGATGATTAGATTATTGTAACCGGTGAAATTTTTTTTTACTAATTTGTAGTCTATAATGAAGAAAAACCTGAGTACTACATCATCCTTTGTATTTGTTTCTCAGGCATGCATTTTGTTTATTGCTTATCCATGCTGCTGAAGCACAATAATTTGTTTATTGTTACTTTCTGCAGTTGTACTAAACACTAAACTTATAACTTATACTCATCTGTAGATTCTTGATGAAGCAGATCGAATGCTTGACATGGGATTTGAACCTGAAGTTCGCTCCATACTGAGCCAAACATCCTCTGGTTTGTAGAAGCTATTATTTGTCAAATGCAAGTTATTACGCATGCTATCGCGGGTTTGAAAAAATGTTTTTGGTTGCTGAGCTTTAATTGGTCATAATTTAATTAACATGGCTAGTATAAGTTTGCGCTACTGTTTTCTTTGTAAACTGGATACGTAAGGTCACCGAAGGTGGTGCTTAAAAATTAGAAGTCCCTCATTTACATCTTTATTGGAAAACAAAGTTTATTCTTATTCATGTTTGCATGCATATTTATTTCCAGTTTCAAGCATCATTATTCTCTCACATTAAGTTAGACTGATGGTTCAAAGAGCTATCCATTCCAGGGACCTGGTGACTAGCTTTCTGTGTACATGCTTTATTTTCCTTCTTCCTTAATTTTCTCCCTGTTGACCTCATATCACTTTAAAAGGCGTTGCAGTATTTGAGTACTTATTTACTGTATGCAAAGTTGAGTGTCATTTGAGCTTATAATTTGTTATATTTGTGCAGTTCGTCAGATGGTTATGTTCAGTGCAACTTGGCCTCTAGCTGTTCATCAGTTAGCCCAAGAATTTATGGATCCAAACCCTGTTAAGGTTTGTGTCTTTGTTTTGTTTAACCTTCAACTTTATGTATTTTACATTATGACTGTTTATTATAGGTTGTTGTGGGATCAGAGGATCTTGCAGCTAATCATGATGTGATGCAAATAGTAGAGGTATGTCTCTATATGATCAACTGGAAGTGAACTTAAAAGAGATTGAAGAAAAGAAGGCTATTTCTTATGAAGAAATATTTTATAAGTTTCTATACACTACTGCTTACTTTGTGCAACTTTTGTTCAAATATCTCTCCCATTTTAGGTCTTGGATGACCGATCACGAGATTCGCGTTTAGTTGCGTTGCTTGAAAAATATCACCAATCTCAAAGGTAGGCACTGCAGTGTATTTTCCTGTTTCACAATTAGGATTTATATGAATATTCCTCGCATTTGTAATAAAACTTTGTCATGTTCTAAGTTCAAGGAATCATTGTGCATTATATACATCGTGTTCACCATAAAGGCACCATTCTAGTGGTCAAGGCAATGGAATCTTATGAAGTCAAACCCAGTTGGTAGTAGACAAATAGGTTTGGGCCTTTTGGCCTTTCAGCTGGAGGGACTAGAATATGCTAACTGGGATTTGATGGATGGCTAACATGTTCAAACTAAATCAGTAAATTAAAATTAGTTATATTATCATTCAATGGTATTGATTATGTGGGAAATTGATTTTTCAAATGTTCTCCAATTGCATGCATAGGTTAAAAGTTAAAGTTGGTAAAGAGGAAGAGAGTAACTGTTGACTAACGGTCTGAACCAAAAAAAGTAAAGCCTTCCTGTAGTGACCATGACTCATGTTGTTACTTCAGCTTATTTAGAAGGAGAATACACCCTTTAAGTTGTTGCGAAGTATCTTATGTCCAAATCCTAGTTTGGAGAGTTATAAATGTCTCTTTTTGCCAGAGAACATTGAGAAAGGTACTTTAGGCAAATACTTTTGTCCATCTTCGAGTAGGTTATTCGCAGAAGTTTCAGCAATACTTATCCTAAAAAGTATCAAATCAGAGGGGAACCTAGAATATAATGATGTTCTAAAGTAGGGTATAGCCTAACCCCATCAGGGCCATTAATATGTTTTGAGCATGTGGCTATCAGAATATCTAACACCACACTTCGCTTAAAAGTGTCAGCATAAATATAGGACTAGAATAGTGATGAACTTGTTTTTTGTTTTTTCCTTTTTTTTTTTTGGGGGGGGGGGGGGAATTTGGTGGGCCATATGGCTGCCCAAGGGAGTTGAACAACAAATTAAAGAAACAACAAAATATTTGTTTGCTATTATTATTAGACAAGTTACCACTATTACTATTATTTTGATGATGATGATGACTCACCTCATTAGACAAGTTGCTTTCAGCGATGGAAGCTTTGTGCCTGAATCCCCTTCCTTCGTATGCAAACTTGATTAGCAGTACCTATATCACGTGTCGTATAGTGTATACATATCTTTCATGTGGCTCATATGTAACCTGATCTAACCATAAGAATTACTGGAGAGGAAAATTTTATTACAATTGCTCTAATATTATCTGACGGCCTCCACCAAATATTTGATGGTGATGTAGACTTAAAATGTGAAAACATAAATTTATGCATTTTGTTATGCTATCGTCATCATACTGTGCTGATCTACTTTACATTTTCATGGGTCTGGAGCAGGAACAGAGTCCTGGTTTTTGTCCTGTACAAGAGGGAAGCTGCTCGTGTTGAGAATATGCTTCAGAAAAGGTATACACATCAGAATTTATCCTAAATTTCCATTGTCAGTTTTAACCAATCAAACTAAATTTTCCATTATGTCATGTTGCTGAAAACCAACTTCATGCTAATTTTCACCACAATAAACTGTTGAGATAAAGCCCAACATGACAGGACAAAGGCTCTCTCATTGTTCAAGGAAGGAAAATGTCCTTTGATGATTGCCACTGATGTAGCTTCTCGAGGATTGGATATACCCGATGTCGAAGTGGTTATCAACTACAGTTTTCCTCTAACTACTGAGGATTATGTGCATAGGATTGGGAGAACAGGACGTGCTGGTAAGAAGGGAGTTGCACACACCTTCTTCATGCAGGAAAATAAGGTACTGCATATGTATGGACTTATGTTTTACTATGTAAATTATAGTCACGGAAATTTTTTTTTCTCATGTGATCTTTCTTTCAATCTAGGGTCTTGCTGGAGAACTCGTGAATGTTCTCCGAGAAGCTGGGCAGGTTATTCCTGCATCCCTTACTAAATTTGGTACCCATGTGAAGAAAAAGGTACAAATTTTATATAAATATCATATGAGCCTGTCTTTTAGCAAAAATATTGATTGTAAAATCTGTTGAGATATAAACCATGTACGTAGCGACTACCTAATAAAATTGTGACAGCTCTGGTATGGGTCAAAGCTCAAAAAGATCTTTAGTCTGTACCTTATTCACATAGGTGCCTCTAGTAGTATCAATGCTAAAACATAAACTTTTATTTCTTCCATTGAGTTGAAACTCAGTAGTGTACATAGATTGAAGTTTATTCCTTTAATATCGATCTTCAGTTCAAGAAAGTGACCTATTTAATAAGACATTCTCTTCTGTGATTTTGAAAATACCTTTGCACGTCTTGGGCACAAGTGAACTTCTGGTAGCATGATGAGAGAATCTGTAGCTCATATTCTGAAGTCATTTTTTGCTAGAACTTAAATGCAAATTTTGTCCAATAAAAACCTCCCAACATAAACGAGTGATGGTGATTAAATCCCATGCATAGGGTACATCGATCTTGATTTGGAGGCAAATTAAAAGCAGATCTGATATTTGCTGAAGTTGGTACTCAAAGTCTTGCTTTCTATTTGACATTTATCCTTGTTTATGTTGAGTAATCTGCTAAATTGTGTTCCTTGCAGGAATCCAAGCTATATGGAGCCCATTTCAAAGAGATTACAGCTGATGCTCCAAAGTCGACGAAGATCACTTTTGCTGATTCAGATGACGAGTAAGTGTCCTAATGTTTTTGGGCCCGGCTATGAAGAACATGTGGAATTTGAATGGGATCCGATCATTGCCCCGAAGCGTTTGGGGTTGTAGGTGACTGTTTTATCCAAATATTTATACTAGATTTTGGGTAGGTATTTAATTTTATATGACTCAACTGTCAAGAAGCTGTTGAGATGTAAGGTATATAGATGAAGCAGATGGTCTATTCTTTTGAAATTTTTTAGTTATGTAGCCATTAGTATTATGGGTTCCTATCTAGTTATATGTTTTGTGCAAGAAACACAGATTGTAATGAATTCAAGATTGTCATAAATTATGAAGATTTTTTGCGCTATTGTTGATGTTGCATATACTCTCTTCTGACATATGAGGGCAGAAAAGCTAGAAATCCACGAAGTGTATGTTGCAACTTGCAAAAGTGGAAAAGTAATTGGAATTTAATGGGATTTATTTATTATTTGATACATATTGGCTTATTATTTTTGTACTCTGTTTAGTATATAATTGAGCAGTGATCATTATTTTTAGGGATTTCTCGACTAATACTCTCGTCTTTTATTTAGTTGGATAAGAGTACGCCACCTTATATTTTCCTAAAATTATTCCTCTTGGTTCTCTATTGTTCGTATGAGCGGAGGGAAGAAATTGAACCTGAACGTTAATAAACAGTGATGATGGCTTTTCATGCTAGGAGTCTTTTGGCAATTTATCCATTTACGTGGTTGTAACTGTAAATTTGTACTTTCTTCTTATCAGGTCTACAATATCACCTGCTCCTAACCTTTATGCGTATTTGCACCACGTGCCATTGCTGCGTGGCCTCTTTATAATAAGAGGAAAAATTCTCCAAGGGCCCAAAATATGGGACCAATAGGGGGGACAAGTGAGGTGTGTCCCCCTCCTATTGGACAATGAGTTGGCCATCATTAATAATGGCCAACTCATTATCCAATAGGAGGGGGACACCTCACTTGTCCCCTTTATTGGTCCCATATTTTGGGTCCCTGTAGCAAGGGGTTGCGCTAAAGGCACTTAAATGTTCTATTGTTTCCTAACCTTCACCAGAGCTTAGTTTGGTAAGGGGTTTGAGGAGAGAAGGTGAGGTGATGGAAGATATAATGAGGTGGAGCCGGGGAGGGATAGACAATTTTTTAAACCTTTATATTTACCGTGTGTTTGGGAGTTTACTAATGGTGTGTTTGGGAGTTTACTTAGGGCTTGTTTGGATTGAGGGGAATGAGGGTGAAGGGAAGTTAGGGGAACCATTCACCTCCATTCACCTTGTTTGGGAACACTTAGGAGATGAAGTTAATTCACCTCCATTCACCTTGGTTCACCCCCTAATAGTATAAAAATTGTTACCCCCCAAATTGGGGTGTAACCAAGGGGAAGGGAATTCCCTTCCCTTCCCTTCCTTTCCCTTCCCTTCCCTTCACTCAGTTTCCCTTAACTTCCCTTCACCCCCTACGAATCCAAACAGGCCCTAAGGGAAGGGAAGGAAAGGTAAACAACGGGAAGGGAAGGGAAGGGAAGGGAAGGGAAGAGAATTGTAATATGTTGTTTGGGAGTTGAGTAAGGTGAATGAAGGTGAAAGGAAGTAAATATATGTAAATTTACATAAATGACTTTATACTAATAACACATCAACCCTTTTATTTATTTTGATGGGGGTAAGAATGTCATTACACCCATTTACCCTCCTTTACCCTCCTCTACCGCCCAAATCGGGGGGGAAAGAAAACCAAGCAATTTTACCATCCTTTCCCCTTCCTTCCTCCTCTCTACCCTCCTTAAAAAAACTCCCAAACAAGGTGAAAGCCTCATTTCTCTTCCCCTCCCCCTCTCTACCCTCCATCCAAACAGGGCATTAGTTGAAGGGGAAGGAAGGATAGATGCATGCTTTTACGGTTTATTTTCTCTCTTCTCTTGTATCCTTTCAATTAAGAGGAATTCTTGTCAATTTAGCTTTTTAGTTCATTTTGTGTTGTCCTTCCCTCCCATCCCGTCCCCTCCCCTCTCTACCTCCCCCTCTAAAAACTCCCTACCAAAGGCAAATCTTATTTTTATCCCTCTCATGCGTTTTCATTCTCTCCTACCAAACCAAACATTAAATATCCTAAATTGTAAAAGTAGTATTTTAATACCTTTAGATATAAAAAATAACACTTTAATATCCTAAGTTGTAAAAAATTAACACTTAAATACCCTATTATTTTATCACTTTTACACTTAAATATTCTAAATTGTAAAAAGTAACAATTTAATATATTAAGTTATAAGAAAGTATAGTACTTAATATACTAAGTTAAAAAGTGACACATTTTATTAGTTGTTAAAACAATTTCCTAAATATGTCCAATGAAAATTAACAAAAATATTAATTTACTATTTTTACAATTTAAAATATTTTTTTTATAAATTAAAATATTTAAGTGTTATGTTAGTAAAACAATACCTTGTCTGACTGTCGTTCAGCGACACCATAAAAAAAATAAAAATAAACATAAAAATAAAAAATAAAAATAAAAAGCCTTTCATCTCAGTAGGGGTGATGTCCAATGAAAATTAACAAAAATATTAATTTACTATTTTTACAATTTAAAATATTTTTTTTATAAATTAAAATATTTAAGTGTTATGTTAGTAAAACAATACCTTGTCTGACTGTCGTTCAGCGACACCATAAAAAAAATAAAAATAAACATAAAAATAAAAAATAAAAATAAAAAGCCTTTCATCTCAGTAGGGGTGCTCTCTACTACTCTCTTATACAATCTTATACTATCTCATACTAATATACTATCCTATAATCTTTTGTATTTTCTAATACTTCCAACAAATGGCTTCTGGGTCTGATTATGAAGAGCAACATGCAACTCCTACCGATCCAGAGATGAGTCCTCCTACAACAACTCCTCATCCTACCGGTGTTAATCCTGAATCTGGTGGCGACGAATCTACGGCACCAAGAGCTCCAAAAAGGCCGAGGTCTGATGTATGGAATTTTTTTGAGAAGATAGACGTCACCAAGGATGAACACGGTAGGATCATCTCTCAGAATGCGAAATGTGCGTTGTGCGGCCAGATATTCAAAGCTCATCATAAGAGCGGCACCAACCATCTCAAACGGCATATTGAAAAACACAACAAAGGCCAAAATCTACAAGGTGATATCCGGCAGTCTATGCTTTCCCAATCATCCTCTTCAGGTACCCTCGGCAGTTGGAATTATGACGCTGCCCGAGCCCGGAAATGCGTAATCAGGTTTATTGTTCTTAAAAACCTTCCTTTTAAATTAGTAGAAGATGATGAATTTGAAGATTTATTTAGAGATGGTTTTTATCCTGCATTTACAAAATTTTCTCGTCAAACCTGTCAACGTGATATTTTAAAATATTATGTTGAGGAACAGGGAAAAATAATTTCTTATTTTAAAAATTTAAACTGCAAATTTTCTTTAACTTCTGATATTTGGTCATCTAGAGTGCAAACTGGTTATTTATGTATAACAGCACACTGGATTGATGAAAGTTGGAAAATGTTTAAAAGAGTTGTTTCTTTTATTGCAATTGAAGAGTCACACACTGGTATTAATGTTGCAAATTTAATTGTTGAAGAACTTATGAAACTAGAAATTGATCAAAGAATATTTACTCTTTCACTAGATAATGCAAGTAATAATAATGTAGCTGTTGATTTTCTGAAAATAACTTTGTCATTGCCATGTCATGGTGAGCTTTTTCATGTTAGATGTATCTGTCATATTTTAAATTTAATTGTTCAAAGTGCATTTTCTGAAATTAAACCCATGATAGAAAAAGTTAGAACAGTTACTAATATGCATAATGCTTCTGAAATGAGAATTAAAAGATGGAAACAATGTTGTAAAAGAAAAAATTATAAGCCTAGACTAATTCCAAAAGATGTTGACCATAGGTGGAATTCCACCTATGCAATGTTATCTGTAGCAATAGAATATAAAGAAATTATAAATGATTTTATAAATTTTTATGCTTCTAGTTCTAGCTCTGGTAGTGCTTATGGAATAACTGAAGATGAATGGACAGTTATATGTAAATTAAATGAGATGTTACAAGTTTTTTATGATGCTACTATGTTATTATCTGGTTGTTATTATCCAACTATTACTTTAGCTGCTTTACAAATTTTAAATATTCAAAAAAATTTTACAAAATATCGTATGGATGATATTTTTGGAAGTATAATTTTTGAAATGGAGAGTAAATTTAATAAGTATTTTAGGCCTATTCCTCATATTTTTGGTATTGGTGTTCTTATTGATCCATGCTTGAAGGAAATTGGCCTTCGAAGTTTGTTACAATCATTGTATGGTGGACAGATTATAGACTTAGATGATGGATCCACCCTTACTGCTACTACTCATTATTTAGCTATTAGAAATTATTTTCAAACCTTATATGATGAGTATGCAGCTAGATATGGTGTAGCTACACAACAGTCTTCAGCTTCGGCACCTTCAGCTTCGAGCACAGGTCGAGGTAAAAGTGTAAGTTTTGATAGGTATGCAATGGTAGCTGAACTAACTGGTGGATCTGGAACTTCATCAGGATTAGATGTTTCTGAAATAGATGAATATTTTTCTGCTTCTTTAGTTAGATGTCAAGGAAATGCTTTAGATATTTTGCAATGGTGGAAAGTATATGGATCAGTTTCATATCCTATACTTTCCACCATGGTTCGTGACTTACTATCAGTGCAGGTTTCGACTGTAGCCTCGGAATCCGCTTTCAGCACAGCAGGACGTTTGATCGACGACCACAGGACATGCTTAGATCCGTATACTGTACAAGCGGTGATGTGCTTACAGGATTGGTGGAGATACGAGAAGCGAACACAAGGCATCGAACGGATTGCTATGATTGAAGATAAATTTGAAGAGTTGGGACTAGCAGATAGATATAATGATTAGATAATATTCATAAAATTGTAATTTTCTTTTCTTAGCTTTAAATTTGAATTAAATTATTTCGAAAAAAGTTGCAAATGATAGTGATATGGGTGAGTAGGTGCCAACCTAGTTGGGATGTACTCATATATTGTGATGCGACGAATTTCGAAATAAATTTATACTTGTAAAGGATTTGTAAAGGATTTACCGATTATTAATAAAGAAGTTATTTTTATCATTTTTTGTACTTGTAATTTATGTCATTTCATTTCAAGCTATTAATTAAATTTATGACATTTTTTATAATAATTTATGGTTTATGGTTTTGTTAAAATTTAAAAAAAAAACAAAAAAAATTTCTAAAAAAATCAAACCGGGCCGGCCCGGTGTCCGGCCCGCTCAGGCCCGGGCCCGAGTCCGGGCTTGGATTTTGCCCGGCCCGGGCCCGGTTTTCCGGGCCGGGCCGGGCCGGGCCGGCCCGGATGGACAGCCCTACATCTCAGGCTCAGAACAAAGCAACAAGGCAAATAATAAAAAAGCAACAAGGTCAGAGCGACGGCCATGGCGTCCCGAAGAGTGACGAGCCTTCTCAGAACCCTAGATTCCCTCCGTGGCCCTGGAAACATTAGGGCTTTCAATTCTCTCGTCAGCAGCCACACCGCCAAATGGATGCAGGTAAGCCCTTCATCTCTTCTCAGATTTAGGGTTTGGTCGATTGAAGTGGGGCTAGTTTCTTATCGAATCACTGCAGACCGATTCTGTTTCTTTTAGTCTGTATTGAATCGTTCCTATATAAAAGCCAGTTAATGGTGTGGTTTCGCGTAGACCAATAAAAATTCTTGACATTTCGAAGGAAGTTAAAGAGAGATCGCGAATTCGTCACCGCTTTATTTTCCTTCCCACCTTACTCTGGGAGCTAAAACATCCCCGTCTATTTAGAGGGTGTTTGTTTCACCAAAATTACATTTGTTATGGATTATAAGTTTTGGGATCAAACAATGAGTTTTTTTTGTATTTTGGGATTCCATATATGTTGTTTGTTTTAAGAAAACTTTTAGAATGTTGAATCCCAAAAGTGCAAAAAGTGCCCAATTTTTAGAATTTGTCGAATCCTCTCAATTAGAGAGGATTTTGACAAATCCCATAAATGGTGCGCTTACCTCTCAATTGGAGAGGATTTGACAAATCTCAATTTTATCTTTTTATGGGAGTTAACCTCACCAAGATATCATATTCATCATATTACAAAATTTTTGTATTTGGTAATGCTACAATTTGGGCTTGAAACAAACAAAATATTACAAATTGTAGTATTCCAAATCCCAAAATATTAATGAAACAAACAACATTTTAGAAATCCCAACTCATAACAAAACACCTATGGATTTCAAATCCCATGGTGAAATCCATATCCTAAAATTATAGGATTTGAAACAAACACCCCCTTAAGAATTCATGGTAGGAGCTGCCGCATAAATTTAATCCGAGATGTTGACGCGGGCGGGGCTTTTAATAAACTCCAAAACAACGATATATTTATGATTTAACAGAGAGAATATTAACCTGTTGTACTGTTTTTTCAAGAGCCTTTCGCCTGCTATTTATCTTATCGATCAAATTTACTTTTCCCCTGTGTTTTCAGGTTAAGAACTTTCGGTTGTATGTTCCTGGGCAATCAATTAATTTGTTGTTTATATCACCTGTTGAGATGTCAATTCGACGATGGGGTTCCCTAAACTACGATCCTGTTGAGATATCCTATCTAGTGCACTTAATGGTTTCTCTTGATCATGCACAAAACATATCAATTACTTCTCCCATTCATAAACAACTAAAGCTACCTCAACTTCATATGGTTATTGTGCTCGATTTCCTATTATATCCTAGATAAAGGAGTGGGGTTGTTTCAGATAGGTAACAGCCGGCATGAAACTCAGTAGGGGACATTAGATCAATCAACGAAAATGAATTGATGACCCATCCTGAAATGAATCATCTGCTTGGTGGCAAGATCATCCTTACCTCCTCCCTTTTTTCTTGTTAATTTACATTGCTGCATTCACATTATTAAATTTCAATTTAGTAGAAGTATTTTGATACATCCATCCAATAGCTACTCCCTCATGATGACCTCGTCTTGAAATGAGTAAGCTAGTTGGAGGAAATATCAGCCTTACCTCCTTTGCCTTGCCTCTTTTTTGCCTTTTTAATTTACATTGTTTCATTCTCATTATGAACTTTCAAATTAATATAAGTTTTTTGATGTTTCCACCCAACAACTATTCTCATAAATATATGTCCTGTAATATAAACAAGATTGATTGATTACGGCCCTAGTTAGAACATTACCTATCTTCATAATTAGTAGCCAAAAAAAAGCATCTAAGAAATGTTTGCTTGTTCAATACATTTTTTATTTCCTAAATCTTAAAGAGAGAATTTTTCTTGAGCTTCCAACTCTTGTACATCTAATTTCAGTTACTCTCTGTTTTGATATCTAAAAATGATTCTGAAAAGGCATACCTGACCATAATTTTTTTTGCTATGCCATTTCCCATCATTCACTTTGGTAATGTCCCTTTACTCAGATAATAAATGAAATTATTCAAATCGGTACAGTGTCCACATTTCGGGAACTTGAAACTATATCAAATAAGGTTTCTTTTTTTTTTTCCAGTTTCAATTGAATCTTCTTTAAGATATAAAAAGAATAACAAGTTTGGGTAACCTGTTACCGTAATGTACATCCCAATATTTGGACCAGCCAGTCTATACTCCCAACAGAAACCAAGTATATGAGGCTGGATCGAGACTTAAGTAAACCTTATCGAGCTTCTCTCTTAATTTTTGACTTGGAAGTCCTTTCCTGTCTCCAGTCAACAAGAGTTGTTTTGGATAGCATCTGATGTCTAAATGAGACTAAATCTAACTTCAGCCAAAGTCTGGTTCCATTAAACTTCCACGATAATTTTTGTAATGGTGGTTCCGAAGATAATTACAGACTACAATTTCGTGACTGTTGTTGTTGATGTTGTGATAATGTGCAGTTAAAATCTGAATTGTTTGAAAAGTGATTGACAACTTTCAATCACAAGTAACTAAATCGTAAACTTGCATCAATGTTGGGATCAACAAGGGAAAAAATAAAACTCAGATATCCGGGAAAGGATCTTTAGTTTATTGAAGGAAATAAAAGGAAAGTTAAGGAAAGGAAGACCTTGGTCCTTTCTCTATTTTCGTAATTAAGGCTGTAGCCTGGCATCCAAAGTTTGGGTCAGTTTCTGGATCTTGGAAAGGAGAACCGAGAAGGTCCATATATTTCTGTAATTATGCATAACCTTATATAGTAATAACGTTTCTGGTAAAGTGAACTTTATTGTGTTTTACGTTGTGACTGAATCTAGATTGTCAAGTTGCATGCGGGTGAAGGTGAACAAACAAATACCAAGTGCGTAATGGATATAATCCTTTTCAATGCAGGACACGAGTAAGAAGTCTCCAATGGAGTTGATCAATGAAGTTCCACCAATAAAAGTTGAAGGGCGGATTGTGTCTTGTGAAGGAGGTAACTTGCCCATTTCTATCTTGAATGATCTCATCTTTTTTTTTTGTAATATTTATTTTTCGTATTTATTTTTTTAAATTTAATGTTATTCTGTTCATTTTTAACTGCAGACATTAATCCTGCCTTGGGCCATCCGATTGAGTTCATATGCCTTGATTTGAAGGACCCTGCTATCTGCAAATACTGTGGGCTTCGTTATGTCCAGCATGACCATCATCACTAAGAATGAGAATTGTTATGTTTCATGCGTGTGTTTAAGTTTGTATTCCTGCAGCCATCAGGATGAAAACTGTGCAACTTTGTTGTGGTTATGTAAACTCCTCTCATTTGATGTATTGATAGTATGTTTCATGAATAACTAATAATAACAGAAAAATTGTTGATCAAAATATTGAAAGTATTATTTACAAACTAGAAGTTCCTAGCACATCATTTTGCAGCTATCCCCTCTTTATTCTGTTTATATGCATACCATCTGAGAGCAAGTCCAGCAAGCTCCCAGTTAGGAGTCCTAGTCAGCAAGCTCTCAAGAGTTCTCAAGCATTTTAGTATAAAAAATTATAAAAATAAGTCTTGGGAGCATCTCCTTATTTTATGGAGCTCCAACAAGCTCCTAGTTAGGAGCTCCAATAATATCATAAAAACCCCTCTTCTATTTTAATTTTTTTACCCATTAATTTCAATTATATTTAAACCTCTTTTATTAACTTTCTAACCGTTGGATACAGCCTTCGAGGGAGCGCACACGGTCTTCGAAAAGATTACTGCGGTCTTCGAGGTAATCTATGGTCTTCGAGGGAACGCTCACGGTCTTCGAGGTAATCTACGGAATTCGAGGGAACGCTCACGGTCTTCGAGGTAGCTCGCGGTCTTCGAGGTTGGGCACTGACGCACCAACATATCCTCTTTATTATTTTCGTCGAAGATTCAGAATGACGCGTTCGTTATTCCTTCGAATCCACGACGCTGTCGTCGAACATGACAAGTACTTCGTCCAAAAGAGGAATGGTGCTGGACAGTTGGGACTATCTAACCTTCAAAAGATTACTGCAGCTATGCGGATGCTCGCATATGGAGCATCCGCTGACGCCGTTGACGACTACGTTCGGATCGGTAAAAGTACGTCGCTTGAGAGCGTGAAGAGGTTCGTTCGATCGATTATCAACATCTTTGGGGAGGAATACCTTCGTTCACCGACTAATGAAGACGTTGCACGCCTGCTCGAGGAAGGTTCACAACGAGGTTTTCCTGGTATGCTTGGGAGCATCAACTGCATGCACTGGATATAGAAGAACTATCCAACCGCCTGGCAAGGTATGTATACTGGGCATTTTCATGAACCTACAATTATTTTAGAGGCCGTAGCTCCAACCGCCTGGCAAGGTATGTATACTGGGCATTTTCATGAACCTACAATTATTTTAGAGGCCGTAGCTAGCAAAGATCTTTGGATATGGCATGCCTTCTTTTGGACTGCCGGGGCCTCACAATGACCTCAATGTTCTACACTGTTCACCAGTTTTCGCACAACTTACGGAGGGAAGAGCTTCACCGTGCAACTATATTGTTAATGGTCACGAGTACAATATGGGATACTATCTCGCCGACGGGATTTACCCAGAGTGGTCCACATTAGTGAAGACTATTCCAGCACCGCGAGGAAACAAGCATAAATACTTTGCTCAACAACAAGAGAGCGCAAGAAAAGATGTTGAGCGAGCTTTTGGCGTGTTGCAAGCTCGATTTGCGATTGTTCGTGGACCAGGACGTTTCTGGCAACCTAGTGTGCTGAAAGACATCATGACAACTTGCATCATAATACATAACATGATCGTTGAAGATGAACGAGATTGTCAATTGGACAACAACTTCGACTTTAATGATTCGATACCAGTCGTTGAACCTTCTCATGTGCGGACAGTACCTCTAACTGAGTTCATCCAAAATCATCATCGGATCAGGAACACGCAAACACACAAATCACTAAAGAATGAAAATCATCATCGGATCAGGAACACGCAAACACACAAATCACTAAAGAATGATTTGATCGAGCATCTGTGGCAGCTCAAGGGATCCATCGACGAGGATTAAGTTTCTTTATGTCTAATACTGTTAATTTCAGCAAAGAAGTTCGAGTTGTTGTACTACGCCAATTTTCTTTGCAATAAAGTAGTTGTTTTCATTAAATGCCAAAATTTTCAACTTCAAGTAGAATCATAAATCTAATACAAGATAATTAGGAAGAACTAATTAGGATGCGATGCGAGTACAATCATAAATCTAATACAAGATAATATATGATAATTAGGAAGAACCCTTAGACATCCACCTCTCCAATATCTCTGTCTGACGCATTTCAAAGTATTGTCGTTGAACTGAATTGAGTGTTGAGAGATCCATCTTCATGATATCGTCATCTTGTTTCTTCTGTTTTAGCTCTATTTTTTGATTGGTGGTTTCCTTCATCCACGCGAAAGCCTCTCCCATGATGGACTTAGCGGACTCAGAGTTTTCCACATTTTGTTTCCTCTTGAGCTTTGCCGCTTTCCTCCCTTCAGGCCTTGCTATAACATCATTCGAGTCAGTGTTCAACTCGATGGGGGTCGCTGGCATGGAATTGTTCGGTGAGGAATCAGAGTATGTGGTTCTTCTCGGCTGTGATCGAATCTTATTGTAAGTTTCCATTTGTTGGATCCACTTTTGATGATGACGTAACTCAACCCAGCAATGGTCAAACACGAATGGCTTACCATAAAGAGATTGGTATAATTCTTTTACTTCTGCAGTCTACACAAGAGTTAATTTTAGAATAATCAAACATAATTAAACATATTGAATCTGAACAAACATAATCAAACATAATTAAATATTTACCTGGTTAATAATTCCCGTACCAGATCTTTGTCTTCCTTCAATCTGAGCAACGCACCCACAAAACTTGTTCATGGACAATTGAATCGTTGACCAACGATGCATCATTTGGTTTGGTGTGCGGCTCGTTGGATCGGTGGAGTATAGGATAAAGTAGTCGTTAGCTCGGTGCCAAAACTTATCTTTGTGTTACCCCGTACCTTGGATGGCGTCTTAGCTCGTGTTCAGCCAAGCAGACACAAGAAGCTTATCGTCGTGGACAGTCCAATTTTCGGACCTGGTGTAAGCCTTCTTCTTCTTTGTGGTCGGTGTTTCTTGGGATGACACTTGTTGTGTTGCCGATGGCGAGAACTCGATGGGGTGACCTTCTTCTATGACTTCTGTATAGAACGACGATCCTTCACCGGTAAGGAGTTGTAAATAAAAGTTTTGGGAGGGATCCATGAGATTTGTAATTTGATAGGAAACTATAGAGTTTTTTTATGAGATAATTGAGAATTGAGAATTGAGAGTTGTGTGGAAATCTTTGTGTAGTGAATTGAGAATTTATAGATGATTTTTACTGTTCATGCCAGTTTTTTTCATCTCAACGGCTAAATTTTTCACTCAACGTCTTATTTTTAACGGCTCAATTCAACTCAACGTCTCAATTCAACTCAACATCTTATCTTCATTATATATATTATTTTATCAAAACAACAGACCCAAACCCCAAACCGAATTAAATCCCCAAACCCAAATCCTCTCCCGTAACCTTCAACCCCAAACCCCAAACCCCAAACCCTTCGGCTATGACGACCACAACCTCCTCTTCGCCTCGCGTTCCTCTTCGGCTACGACGGCCACAAGGTCTGGCTCCCCAATCTCTAGCCCTAAACCCCAAACCCCTTCCGAGCTCTGAAGCTCTCCACCGCCACGTAGGCACTGGAAGCGGCCTTGGGAGCGGTTAGGAGCTTGCTGGAGGGGGGGCTGCCAACTTCCACGGCCACGTCAGCCTTGAGAGCCTCCTTCAGAGCTTGCTGGACTTGCTCTGATACCGCTGGTAATTCCCTGGATAAGATTCTGTGAATTCCTAAGTTGGAAGACAAATTACGAGTATTGACAGCATGTTTCGATGCAAACCATTATCGTTTGCAATTTTAGTGTCAAAAATAAATTACTTTTGGTAATATACGTTTGTAGTAAATATGATTTTAAAATTGCCTATAGGCACCATGGTATATTTTTTGACTAAGTCTGAATAAACTCTCTCTCAAGCTCAATTGAGTTATTTAACTCACTAATGTTGCGTGCTTCTCTTATACGATCCATGGCAGCCCCCAACGACTAGCATTAATTTAAGGAGAATTTTTTTAAATACGTCACTTTGGCTAAATATTTAAGTGGCTAAATATTTAGCAAAACCGACTGTTTCATTAAATATTTAGCAAAACCGACCTCTTTTGGCCAGCTCATTAAAATCTGACCAAAAAGAGGTCAGTTTTGCTGAATCTGGTCTTTGAAACCCACGAGACTACTAGTCTCATGGGTTTTCTGAATAGTTTTCAGAAAATACATGGGACCAGTAGTCCCGTGCATTAGACAAAGACTTCGTCGCTGCTGCACAGCAAATCCATGAGACTAGTAGTCCTGTGAATTTGCTGGACAGACAAAAACATGCACAAAACATACACAGATCATACTTGCATGAATATATACCTCATATACATTGCTAAACATGCACAAAAATATAATAAATTGCATATGATGAATGTTAATATTTCAGTTCGAATGGCAAATAGAATAACAATTATTTGCTTATTCAATGAGAAACTGAGTGTTGGGATGAATAATATGCCTATATATAAGGGAGGATCTAGAAAAATATTCATGTTATCTAGAAACTGTAACTTTGATAGAATGATGGAGCAAATATACATAATTACTAGAATTAATCATGTGGAGTATGCCACTAAGATCTTCTGTAATTTTTTGATAAATGAAAAAAGAATAATTACTGTAGAGATCACTAATGATCAAGAACTGAGTGACATGATACAACTTGCAAAAAATCTCAATCGAGTTGTTCATTAATCATATTCCAATATCTGGTGTTGCTCAAGTTTCATATGCTCCTAAAGAGTTTTCTTGCATGCTTGACTTAGAAAATAACTCGAGCCAATTCTTTTCATCTCCAAGTGCCGTGCACTTAGAAAATGTCTCGTGTGCAATGATTCTTGACCCATACATGTAGGAATAAGTTACATAACTTATAACTTTTTTCTTTTAACTCACATATTATTTTTCATTGTTGTGCAGATAGGACCAAAGCTAGTCATGATTGATCATAGCCTCAGACATACACGTTGGCCACTTGAAAATGAGCATATGATTGCTTTGGTATCCCAAGCAGGTTTTCTCACATGCTCGAGACTATGGTCGATGAAACTTGATTAGACACTACTTTATGCACTGATGAATAGATGGAGGCCAGAGACTAACATGCTTCATCTACATGTCGGCAAGTCGACTATTACTCTCCAAGACGTAGCAGTAATCCTTGGTCTCCGCATTGATGGTCCTTGTGTTACATGGACATATAGAGATGTGTGGCTTCGAGTTTGTGATGAGTTGTCAGGAGTATCTCAAGAGTCATTGCTCGGGGGGTATATTAGATTGAAGTGGCTTCAAGAAAGTTTCACACACACCTGTAGCCAGCAGATGCATCCCAAGTTGTGATCCAGCAACATACTCGTGCATATATTTTGCACATGATCGGGACGCTTCTATTCCCCGATTCAAGTAAAGATAAAGTACATTTGAGGTAATATAATTATTCTCAATATTAACTATTTGTCATTTTTGCTAGATTATTACTAATTATTCATAAAATATGACTAAATGCATTTTTATTGTGATAGGTGGTTACCACTTCTTTGGGACTTCGACATGTGTGGGACATTATCATGGGGTAGTGTTGTTTTAGTATACCTATAAAGAGAAATGTCGAACGTTGTTTTTAAGCAAAATAAAGAGCTCAAGGGGTGTTTGACATTATTACAAGTTTGGGCATGGAAAGTTCGGTTTTGAAACCAAGAGACGCGAGTTTTAGATGGACAGATTCCACTGGGCTGCTGGTAAATAATTTTGGATCTAATTAAAGTATATTTTATTTTGAATTTTAATTATGGTTAGAAGCTAACATTTTTGTATTCACGTCGATGGAATGTCCAAAATACTACGATGAGGTCCAGGCAAGATAGTTAGATTTTTACAGAGGAGAGCTTGACCGGATAAAAATTTTTCAAGATCGAATTTCAATGTAAGTCAATTTAAGCTACCGATACATTTCAAAGAATTACTAATATATGAAATATTTTGTAGTTCGACTGGCAGCCATGCAGAACTTACCTACCTCATCTACCATTGATTTGCATGGAGGGGCATAATATATGGAGAGCCAAAGTTCCTCTCATTTGCTTTAAAATTATGGAGATGCATGTGTCAGATCGCGAGCTTAGACAATTTGGTTTCGCACAACATGCTCCACAAAAAGTAGAAAGAATAGAGAGAAAAGCGTCCAAGGGCGGGCATTAGATTGAGTGAGCATCAGATTGAATGGGCACTTGTGCATAGAGACTACATTCATAGATGGAATAAGCGACATTTGAGTATCGTCGAGCAGGTTTATCCTCCGATGGAGGAAACATATTATATAAGATGGTATTGGGGGATTACCAGAAGATGGATAATCACTCAAACCAAACCTCCAGTCGACGAGCTCGAGATACGTTCCTAACAAGCAAGATACGTACCAAGGGGTGTAGATGATAGACAATGGATAAGTAATTTCAAATAGTTTTCCATCCATTTTTAATTTTTTAATCCTTTGTTAGCTTTTGGTTGTTTATATGTATCCTTTTACATAATTGCATATAGACGCTATGGATGAGATAGAGAAGATTGCAAATAAGGGCATAACTACTGTCAGAGGAGTTTTAGTACATGTATCGGTCTTACAGCGGATAGTGCGGAGAGTTCGTAGAGCTCTTCATTGAGCCCATGAGGATCGACATGATGGTCCCGAGAAGATGGCTCGTGAGGAGAGGGTATATGTACGTCTACGAAGACGAGGTGGATCTTGCTCGCATGATAATAAAGCTGGTCCGTCTTAGTCCCACACGCAAACGGAGAGTGAGCATGTACAAGCTCAAGTTGAAGGAGGACGCCGATGATATGACTTGCGAGGCAACAAGGGAGGGGCGGACTTTTTAGGTTGTATGTGATAGTTTATTGGTTTTTCTGCTTAGAGACTCTATTTGTAACTGCATGTATTTGATACATTTGGATTTGTCGAGATTATCTTGGCGTATGAATATGTATATGAGGTATCTATTGTGTTGTGATGTTGTGAATTATTTAAACGTGTTCTAATTTATGTTTATTTCTTAATGTTTATAACTTATATAACGATTATACTATTTAGCAATGTATATTAGGCATATTTTATACTTTTTTGTGCATGTTTAACAATGTATATGAGGTATATATTCATGCAAGTATGATATGTGCATGTTTTGGTCTACATGGGACAACTAGTCCCGTGGATTTGTTGGGCAGTAGAGACGAAATCTCCATCTAACGCATGGGAGTACTAGTCAGAAAACGCATAGGACTAGGGTTTTCTGAGTTTCCTTTAGTGGGCGATTAGCAGCCACTAAACACACGGGACTAGTAGTCCATGTTTTGAGTTCTTTTGTATTGTAATTAACATAGATTACAATAGAAAGAAATTTAATGAAACAAAGAAAAATTTATTTTTTTCCTGGGGTTTTTTCCGTGTGTTAGTGGAGCGTCGCTCTTGTACTTCATTGACTCGCTGACTAAGATGATGAGTCTTTTGCTGTTGATGAGGATTAGATTGCTTGGAAGTTAGCTCAGTCTTCTCCTAGCAATACCTATCGTATGCTTCTGTGCGTGTGTGTCTCTCTCCGCGCGCGTGTGTGTAAAGTAGATGATCTCCTCTCATTTTATAGGCTAAAAGAGAGAGTTAATGGTCCTCTTAATTATGGATTAAGTGGCTATTACAGTAGGAGCTAGTGGGGAGCGGTTATCCCAAAAAAATAATTCTGAAGCGGCTATTTAGGCGAAGTTCGCGGACTTGGCGAAGTTCGCTAATGACGTGGGCGAAGGTCGTTTCGGATGTGGGCGCGCCTTCTTCAGAAGTGGATGACTTGGTCCATGTGGGCGAAGTTCAATAGTTGGTGAACTTCGCCTACGAGTTCGAATTTAGCTCATAATTCGACTCCAGGCTTGACCGACTGATGACATCTTTCGACTTGATTTGAAGCGTGTTGCGGGGGTCGACTCGTGTCTGACTTGGTCGAGTTGAGTCGATATGAGTTACTTGGCGAGGTTCGCTTCAATCATCAAGTGACCTTCGATGCATCTTGTTGTGGAATTGACTTTTGGGCCTATTTGAAGTGTTTAGCCCATAGGCATCCATTTTTTTGGATCTAATCTGATCATCATCCTAAGTAAACACATTTTGACCGTCTACACCAGCCTTGATAATCTCTAATCTCTCAGAAGATATCGTCGTCTTCTCTGGATATAGAGATATTAACATATCATTTCTCACAAGAACTGTTGATTAAGGTAGATGGCTAGCTGAAGAGAACGAATCCTTTCTCACAAGGATCGTTGGTTGGGCCAAATAATTAGCCGATGATAATGATCTATGAAGATCAATGAGAATGGTGGAGAGAGAGGCTTTTTGACTAGCCTCTGAATCTCTCTCTCTCTTTTTTCTCCATTGCAAAGACCTTTCCTCCGCCTCTCTCCCCCTTGTTTCATGTTGATCATGCCTATTTATAGGCTTGAGAGCATTAAGTGGGTGAGTTAGTGAGCCTTAACTCCTCTTAAATGAGTGAGTTAGTGATCATCAACCCTCCTTTAAATGAGTGAGTTAGCGATCATTAACTCTCCTTAAATTGGTGAGTTAGTGGTCATTAACCGCTTTCTTAAAAGTAGCTTTCTGAGAACGGTTATGGGCGAAGTTCGCCAATAATGACCACGGCGAGGTTCGCTAATAGCGATCATGAGCGAGGTTCGCCAGAATGGGTGATGCGACCCATGTAGGCTATTGGGCGAAGCTCATCCAAGCAACAATGAGCTTTGCTACATCTTTGGTGAGCTTAGCTGCGGCTTTGGTTTCGGCGAACTTCGTTATGTGTCACAAGTGGACTATTTGGATGAAGTTCGTAGCGAGCTTCATTATGCCTTGGTCAAGCTTCGCTATGACTTGGGCGAGCTTTGTTGATAAGTTCAAATTTGACTCAGAATCTGATTTGAACTTGTTTATTGACTCGGCCGACTTGAGGACGCCTTTTGACCCGGCTCGAGTCCGGCTTGAGGATTGACTCAAACTTAGGTCCTCTTTAGCTTGGATGCAATTATGTTCGCATGTGATCCTAGTGAAATTCGCTGTAGCCTACCATATGCTGATGCTTGAGCCCATCTGAAATGTCTAGCTCATGTGTGTTTACTTCTTGAACTCTGACTCAGCGTTGGTCCAATAGAGTATATTTTAACCGTCTACAGTCCCGTGTGTTTCAAAGACCAAATTCACCAAAGCTGACATCTTTTTGGCCAGCTTTGATGAGCTGATTAAGAAGAAGCCGGTTTTGCTAAATACTTAGCAAAACCAAAACAGTCGGTTTTACTAAATATTTATCAAAAGTGGTCTATTTAAAAAAAAAAAAAATCTCCTTAATTTAAATTCGATATCAACTCTCTCCATTCTGATGGATGCCCAAAAGTTATCATTTCTTCTCAAATCTTGCATTTCAAACAAATCTCTGTCCCAAGGAAAGCTCCTCCACTCTAAATCCATCCCTCTCGGTCTCCAACAAAATCTCCACCTCTCCAAATCCCTAATCAATTTCTACATCTCCTTCAATCTCTTCGACTCTGCGAAGCTCGTTCTCCAAACCATCGAAAACCGATCGGAAACCTCCTTATGGAATTCTCTCATTGCTGCGTACTCCAAGAATCACATGCAAAAACAAGCCCTTCTGCTCTTTGCCAAGCTTCATCGAAGCCCATCCCTTAAACCTGATATCTACACGTACCCGAGTGCTCTAAAGGCCTGTGGTGCATCGGGCAATATCAAGAATGGGAAGATGATCCATGCCCATTTTCTGAAATCGGGTTTCGGAACCGATATTGTAGCGTCAAGCTCTCTGGTTGGGATGTATGCCAAATGTGGTCTTTTTGACTTTGCAGCTAGGGTGTTTGATGAAATGTCTGAGAAGGATGTGGCAAGCTGGAATACTGTAATCTCGTGCTATTATCAGGATGGACAAGCTCAGAAAGCTTTGGAAATGTTTGATAGAATGGTTGATCAGGGATTTAAACCTGATCCTGTGACGTTCACAATGGCTTTATCCGCGTGTGCAAGGGTATCAGATTTGGAAAAGGGGAGGAGGATTCATGAAGAGTTGGTGAGAAATGGGGTTGAGTTGGATGAGTTTGTTGGTTCTGCTCTTGTGGATATGTATGGAAAATGTGGGTGTGTAAAGGGTGGGAGAGAGGTTTTTGAGGAGATACCAATGAAGAATGTTATAACTTGGAACACGGTGATTGGTGCTTATTCTTTAACTGGGGATAGCTATTCTTGTTTGGAACTTTTCTCTAGGATGAATAAAGAAGGGATTCAGCCGACAGTGACTACTGTAAGTAACTTGTTACTAGCTTTCTCCAGGAGCTCAGATCTTAGGAATGGCAAGTTTATTCATGGATATACGCTTAGGAAACAAATAGATGATATTTTCGCCAACAGTTTGCTTATCGACCTTTATTTCAAATGTGAAAATGTTAATTACGCTGAATCTTTGTTCGAGAGAATGCCAAAGGAAAACACAGTGACATGGAATGTGATGATATCTGGTTATGTAGCAACCGGTCTTTACTTTAAAGCTCTTAATGCTTTCAATGAAATGAGAATGTATAGTATCAGACTGGATGCATTTTCATTTGCAAGTGTTTTATCTGCTTGCGCACAACTGGCAGCTATTGAACAAGGGAAGGAGATCCATAAGCAAATCAGTGACTGTAATTTGGAGTCTCACGAGATTGTTATGTGCGCTCTTCTTGATATGTATGCAAAGTGTGGAGCAGTCAAGGAAGCAAGATTAGTTTTTGATGGATTGCAGTTCAAGGACAAAGTGTCATGGACTTCCATGATAACTGCTTATGGATCCCATGGCCAAGCTTCCGAAGCTTTGGAGATTTTCAATGAAATGGTGAGATCAAATGTAAGACCAGACAATGTCGCATTTCTTGGAGTTCTCTCTGCTTGTAGCCATGCTGGATTAGTTGATGAAGGCTGTTATTACTTCAACCAAATGACAAACTACTATGGAATTAAACCAGGTGTTGAGCATTTCTCATGCTTAGTTGATCTTTTAGGGCGAGCTGGAAGGTTGAAAGAAGCACTAGAGATTCTTAAAAGCATGACTAATATTAAATTAGATGCTGGTTTGTTAGGTTCTTTGTTCTCTGCATGTAGCTTACATGGGAACTTGGAGTTAGGAGAGGAACTTGCTAGGTTTCTTGTCGAGATGGACCCGGATGATCACTTTACTTATGTAGTTCTATCTAACATGTATGCTTCTGCTGGAAAATGGACTGAGGTCCGCAAGATGAGATCAGCGATTAAAGAGAGAGGATTAAAGAAAAACCCTGGGTGTAGTTGGATTGAGATTGACAAGGAAATCCACCAGTTTTATGCAGATGATGATTCACATCAACAGACTGAGTGGATATATGAATGTTTGGAGAAACTTTTGAGGAATATGGAGGAGGATAAATGTGATTTGTTCGGAATAGTAAACAGTTGGATGGATGAGAAAATATTTGAGTAGAGTGGTTATTTTCTTTTAGGTCGCCAACAGTACCAATTGAACTTTCATGCAGTAGCGCTTAAATTTTCAGATGCACTTCGAGGATAAGGTGATGACTGAAAGTGGGGGTATAGTGGCTTCCAGAATTCGAAGAAAGGAGTCATTGCTTGGAACAACAGTTTATTTGAAGCCACTGTGTCAGTAAGTAAATACCATTTTGTAATTTTTAGGTGTTGAAGGTTTGTGTTATCTGCTTAGTCTTCTTTAATGTTCTTCTAAACTGGAAAGTCCGCAACTTCTGTTGAAGTTTTATGTTTGCAGAATACACTTATCTAGAGATTTTCTTGGTGGTTATGAAAACACACCAGTAGACAATAGCTAGTTATCTGTGTCAGTTCATATTTTAGTTAATCAATGCACGATATATTAGGTTAGAAGGTCATTTCTGTTATGCTGGACGTCTATGTGTGAAGGAGGACTTCCTATTATATATTTATTTGTTTTCTTTGATTAAAAGAAGATAATAGATATGAAATGTCAAACTCGAAGATTGTTTTTTTTACCTCATGTTGGAATCTGTCTACCATATATCTATCATATCATGTCCCCTTACATGAGCATCACCTTCTGATACCTTGCAGGACACATCTAACCTCTAGTAATTGTTATTTGAGAAATGACAAAGACGGATTTGGATCCTCTCAACTGCAGGGTTTTTTTTTGGCGTTGGATGGTCCACTTTTTAATCGTAGTTATTCATTAATATGTGGATCTGTATGCTCCTTCCAAGTTACCATCATATCCAAGGGGTCATATTCTTTCTTTTTGAATAAATACTTAATCTTGAAGATAAAACTTCAATAGTCTAATAAGTTTCCCCTCCATTTCCCCCATATTTTCCCCATTTATCAAATTTTAATGTGCAAGCGAACAAAAACCTTGATTTTGAAATGGTTGGTTAATTGACGGCCATTTCATCCAAATTGAGAAATCATGGATGGATTCTAGGGTTTCAGTTCTTAAGATCTGTTGAAGTTATATGTTATCATGCAAACTAAAGGACTGTCTCAGATTTCTGATTTTGCACTGATATGTCTGCACTGTCTCCTCGCAGAATTCCCCTGAGCTGTGGTTTTTGCCGTTTGGTTTTGGCAACAAGAGTGATGCTACTGTTGGTATTCCTCTTGAATCAGTGAATGTATGGTAGTCCCTTATAGATTTTGTTAATTTCTTTGTTTTTTGGGTATATTGTTGTCATTATATTCATTAAATTGGCTAGGGTGTTGATTTGATTAGGAAATCATACGTGCACAACGCAAAGGAGGAGAAGGACCTTGCTTCTCATTGCTAAATATCTTCAGGTCATGTTATATGTTTTATCTTTGTAGCCCTTAGCAAGGGATTGTGGGTTGTACATATCTTGTTGAAAATCTTGTAAAAGCCAAAAGTGAAATTGATCATTATTAAAACCAAACACATCAATAAAGTTCACACGGTTTACTTTTTCGAATAATCCTTGTCAAAACCATTTAGATAATTGTAGTAATACATTAGTCTTATTTAAAAATCTCGCTGAAGCCAAAATAGAATGGTAATTATTTTAAATCACACACATCAAGAGTTTAACACATGATTTACTACTTTAATGATCTCATTAAGTTCCTACTAATTCAATGTGTGTGGATTAGGCCAAATAACAACCGCAACCTTTTGACTGCTCGAGTTTAATTTAACCACTAAAGGAATGATAATCTCACAACCTAGGTTGCATGCCATTAAACATAATGGTAATGTTCTGCTCAAGTTGCAAGTCAATTGACAAGTAAGGGGGGGTTATTGGTTGGGACATTTTGGGGGATAATGAGATAATTTTGGGGATTCTATTTCATAGTGTTATTCATTGGGATAATGGAACAAGGATAATACCTTTTTGTGTTATTGGTTTTTTGGAACACTAGTGAGACAATTACACTACTTGGGATAAAATCACCCTACTCATATACAAAAATTTTGTCTCAATAGTAAAAATTTACCCCATCCTTCATATTAGAACAATGTTGTTCCACTTTAAAGGCAATTGGGATAATTTTAAAATATTTTTGTATTACTTAACTAATACATGCTAATTATATTATAAATATATGACATGATATATAAAATATAACATATATTAATAATATTATGTAATATATTATTATATAATATTAATTAGTAATTATAGTATAACGTATTTATTATAATATTATATAATATTTTAATAACATATATTAATAGTATTATGCTAATATATTATATATATAATATTAATTAGTAAATTTATAGTATAACGTATTTGATTAATAATATTATTATAATATTTTAATATAACATATTTATTATATATATATTATTATATATATATTATATATATGACATTTTGTTTATATATAATATAATAATTTACTACATATTAGTAAAATATTTATGATATAATATAATATAATACTATAGTTTGAAATAATATATATATATTATACTATAACATGATACCTTTATAATATGATGATTATTGTAATTATCATTTTAATATATTATATATATATATATATATATATATATATAATATATATAAATATATATATATATATATCATATATATATATATATAGTATATATATATATATAAATAATTTTTTAATTTAATATTATATTTTTAAAAACTATTAACATGAATAAAGCTAAAATATTATTATATAATATTAATTAGTACATTATATCCTATGATACTATATTATAATATATTAAATTAAATAATATATTATTAAAATATTATATTAAATATTAAATATATTATTCATATCAATTATTATATAATGTAGCATACTAATATAATGTTAATTAGTAATTATTGTATAACATATTATATTTTTGTATAAATAAAATAATGTATTATATTAAATATTATATTATTAAAATATTATATTAAATATATTGATATTATATTATATTAATTATTATATATAGTATAGCATGCTAATATAATATAATACAATACAATATAATAATTAATAATAGTAATTTGTAAGTATAGTACAATATATTATATTTTAATATAAAGTAAAATTAATATTTATATTATAAAATATACTAAATAATATACTAAACCAATTGGATAAGTTAATTTAGAAGTAATTAATAGATAAAATTATATTTTAATAAGGTGTCACATCATCAATTATCCCACATGCATTGTCAAATCAAAGGCTTAAATTATCCCATTATCCCACTTTACCCCACTCAAATTATCCCAAAGGGGTAAAATTGTTCTATTGGAACAATTTTCCCACTTAGCCCCAATTTGTCCCAACCAATAACCCCCCCCCCCCCCCCCAAACAACTAACATTACCTGTCTTCTTTTTTATCTATGCCTCAATAGGTGATGAATGGATTGAATTTGAGCTAGAGCCTCAAAGTTTTCTTTTATTCCTCGTAGAGCAAGCAATACAGGTAATAATGGGTGTGATTAAGAGCAGGATTTTGACTATCTGGGGGACTGTATACATTGGAAATTACATGGTGGAGGCTAGTGTGAGGCTGGATCACCCCACATTTGCTCTCGTAAGAAAATCTACAGTCCTTGAGTTGGGCGCTAAAAGGGCTAAGCTCATTGAGACATTCAAAAACTCCGGTGTCACTTTGCTTATAATGAACTATAATTACAACGTGTATAATTATGTTGTCTTTCATAAATTTATAAGTATTACATGTTTTCAGTGTAGGGAGATATGTATGATTATAAGAGCATGGTAAAAGCAAGAAAGTGGATATAGTGATCTCCAAGTTGCTGTATAAATCACTTCAACAGTCAGCTGATCAAGTTAACATCGTTGATGCCATTAAAGAAGCTGGAAATGTCAAGGTGAGTAATAAGTTGCATATGGTATGAGTTTATTTATTGTCTTAATTCCACTTTAGTACCCTAAAGGTTGACCCATTTTTAACTTCGATACAACAAATATTTTTGCCCATTTGATACCCCAGTGTTTTAAAAGATTGAACTTTGGTAAACTCATTTTCTGATTTTTTTCTACCTCTGTAGTTAATATAAACACCCTTGAAGTGGGTGAAAAACATACTGTAAACATCCAATAGAAGATGTGTGACTGCAAAATTTGGCAATTCCAACCCATTTCTGAGGCATTTATAATGACTAGAGGAATATAAAAGTCCAAATCAGATCATGTGTTACACGCGTGATGTAAATTCAGCAAAAAACTAAACAGTCCCCAAACGGATGGCACCAAAGTGCAAATTCCTGAAACAGCAGGGCATCAAATAGGGGGAAAAACTCAGGGGTAACAAAATTCAAAGTAGGTGAAACTTTGGATTACCAAATTGGCAAAGTGCAATTAAGCCTCCTTATTCCTGTTGTCATTGTTATTCTTCCACTTATTAGCTTAGTGGATTGTTGGGTTGGTGATGGTTGTAGAGAAACTTCCCATCTGAGTTTGGATTTGATGTTGAGCAAGTGAAGGTGATGGACCCAGCGAAAACTGTGCTTCATATTAAGGCTAAAATCCGATAAATAATCACGGAGGAATGCATTCCTCGCACTTATTGCTGATACAGTACAAACAAAAATAACTAAATGAGCCTCTAAATGCGGTATTTCCTTAGTGATTCTTTCGGGACCTTGACTTATCACATGAGTCTGAATTTCATATTTCTGTATGTGAAAAGAAGTATAAATATCTTCATATACCAGACGTCCGCTAATTAGTACCGCGTCTTCAGAATTGTAACCTTCCCATGGCATATAAGCTACTAATACGTTTTTTCCTAAAGCAAGTTCCCCCACATAGCTGCACCATCCGCTAAAATTTGTCCCTTTTTAATGCATTTACCCTGTTGAACCTGAGGTTTTTGATGCATACAAGTATTTTCGTTGGAACATTGGTACATAACTAATGAAATGCTTATAGTGTCCCCATCACTCGAGAAAATGATCTTATGCTTATGAGTATCAGCATAAATGATGTTTCCTTCACGTTCGGCTATAACGGAAACTCCAACAGACAAAATAGTCATCTTAGGAGATGGAAACTCAAAAGGTAATATTAACTTATAAACTAGTAAGTTACATGATTACAATTGTTATGCATGTGATTGTTCTAGGTATGTTACAGATAGGTTTTCCTTCTAATATTAATGGCTAGTCAGTTGCTACTTGCTACTGCTTATAATGAAGCATTTTTCAGGATTTTGTGTGTTTATATAATATTAGCAACAGTTTACTTGTAAGAGTCTCCCACCTATTTCAATAAAAAAAAACTGTATGATATTTAATGTATATTGGCAAAACAAGAGTGGAAGAGTATCTTATCTGATGTCAGGTTATGAAGATAGTTTCCTGATACACCTGACATTTTTCTATTTGTGTTTCTCATTTAGTTATTTTTGTGAGGGAAGAAAATATTGCAACATACACAATAAAAGCTGCTTGGTGACCCGAGAGCCATGAACAAGATCTTATATATGAAACTACAGGCCAACACATACTCTCACAATGAGCTCATCCATCTGCAGGAGAAGTAAGACTGGGAAAGACTTTGTAGAGGATCTATATGCCTGAAGAAGTGGATCTGAAGTAAATACGAGGTAGAAAAAGTTTTCTTTAATTACTGATTTTAAAACCTATCAAATAGTTTTCTTTCCCCCTTTTATTTATTAGAACCCCTGTCAATTTAATAAGTTAAAATTTCATGTTTTTGGGTATTGCTTGTGCCTTGAACTTGTTCTACACATTAACTTAATTGAACCAGCAGTTTTGTGTCGTTAGGAGCTTTAATTTCCAAATAGGCACATTTGGATGCCATTTTGGGTTAGGCTGGATTGTAGCTCCATACTCTCCTTACCTTCCCAAACTCGTATTTTGGAGAAACTGCGATAGAGTTAAATTAAAGCGTGGTTTGTTAGTATACTGTTAAGAATTTAAGAGTTAATTTTTGTATGACACATATAACTGGTTCACAACCCAACATCTTAAAATTTTGGATAAAATAGTTCTTGACAGTTGACATGATACAAAAGAATTCAAAGTTCGATTTTTTTTTTCATATTAGACCTTGGATTATATCTTGTTTTTATATTAGATGAGCCAAGTTTTTATATTTATAACTTACACCATAAACTTCATCAAGTTGTTTTAAATAGGGTGGTTATTTGAAACAACTTGATGGATTTAGGTGCGCAAGTTGCAAAATTGATTTGATTTACAAGTATAAAGATTCGGGGCCTAATATAAAAATAGGAGAGAATTTAGATTCTAATGTGAGAAACCCTTCATAGTTTCAAGCGGTCCTGGAATCAAACGTCATCATTGTCAATTTTAAATATATTTATTTGTTCCTGTGTTGATATCTAAAAGTGGGTTGGACCATCTTCGTAAGTTTCTGTTCTTTAATACAAGTGAATTTCTTCACCTTGATTTAAAAAAGAGAGAAAGAAATTTGCCTAACTTGTATACTATTCGATGTGATGATTTCTTGCCGAGACTCCAGCCTCACTGGGTTTTATTTATGCAATAGCTTATTCTGGTTTTGTTAAGGGATAGATGACCAACTTTGTGAGATTGACCCATCTATTGGGGTGGAAGCAACCGAGCTCTATCCAGATGTCATGTATCATACTGTTGATGAGTTGCTTAATCCATACATCTAATAAATAGATCTTCAACAAATTCTTTCGAGGAATTTTTAAGAGTGGTTATTAAAGAAGAAGGTGCTGTGTCGGGTCGGGAAAAAAAAAACAATGAAATTAAGGCTTAATTTCAAGTATGATGATATTCTAGTTAAGAAATACTCGAGTGTAACAAATAGTGAGGATAAGTCCCCACAAAATATGGGGTTGTAATTCCTCTGTTGATTGAATCTAAAAAAAATTCATAGATTTTTGGTTCAGACATAAAATAAGCTTCAACTGACCAAGTAAGAACATGTTGATAGAATTACAGTGTCAACTGTAGTGTCTATTATAATGAATCCTCTAACAGTTGATTCCTTGCCGATGAAGAAATCATTAGTCAGACTGCAGGTTCAGGTTTCCCCAGATACAATAAGGTCAAACCATACATAAGTGAGCCTAAATATGAGGGTATCTGCATACGGATGCCTGACCGAAATAATTATTCTCATATCGATGAGATAAACCCAAAAGTCTGAAAATATATTTTTATAGATTTTGCTCAAACCATTGTTGAAATTGCAACCTCTTGGATTTGTTTTACTGGATTTTCGGTTAGGGTGTTCCTATCTTCAGATTGAATTTCTAGCATTCAGAGATTATTTAGGCCGTGTTTGGTTTGAGAGAAAGAGAGAGAAAGGAAAGTAAAGTGGGAGAGAAAATGGGTTTCTACTGTTTGCTTTAAAAGAAAAGAAAAAAGATAAAGAAAATAAATTTTACTGTAGAAAAACCCGTATATCTTTTTTTCTTTTCCACTTTCTCTTCGCTGCCCTAGTGAAAACGAGGGAGAGCGATGGAAACGCCTCATTCGTCGCCTCCCGACCTAACCCCGATCTCTCACCTCTCCCTCCAAAACTCGAGTCCATTTTCTTTCTCTTTCTATCTCTCTCTCTCTCTCTCTCTCTCTGGGGTGATGGATCTCGAGATCTCGTTGCGATCTAGGGTTTAGGATTTCATGACCCGAGATCGCCAGCGACCTTCTCCTCCGGCGGCCTGGGGCGGAGCGGAATGCAGGGCTCTGCTGATGGTCTCGTCGAGAAAGGAATAGATGAAGATGAATGTTCTTTTGATCTTGATCTCTCTTTGCCTCATCTCTTTGACTTCTGGTATTCTTCACCCCTTCAAATTCCTACAAAATATTTTTTTTGATTCTATTCCATTATCGTTAGGATTTTTATGTGACAAGCAATAGTTTGGGGCATGGCTGAACAAGAAATGTGGTGCCTTTTTTCGCTCATCATTGTCAAGTTTCGAGTTAAATGCTTTATATTTTTCCTTCAAAAGTTGATTTCTCGGTAGTTACCACATGGTAAGGACAATTTTTTTTTATAGAATTTCTCATTTATCTCAAGAATAGTGATTTCCTAAACGAGTGGTTAAATGAAATCTAGGTAAATGTTGCATTTTGAAGTAATTAATTCTTGATCATTGATGTAGAAATTTATTGGCATCCTAATGTGTAAACTAAATTCATGGCTACTGTACTGGAAGCTGTAGGGAGAGTTTTTTGGTTAATAGATTGTAACCTGTAAGTATAAGTTATATGTCTGTGTGCAAATGAATGTGTTTTACAAATGGTGGCTTCATCGATATTTGCATTGCAAAAATATATTACAAGTCCTGCATAGTCGCCGCAATATATAATGTTATTTCATGATGTTTTCAGCTAATGATGCACAAGACTCTTCATTCGACAAAAGACTGGTTATTAACTCACTTGAATGTGAAACACCATTTACCTCAGTAACTTTTAAGGTTGAGTATATTATGTCCCTTTTGACATTGCAGCACAGGTCATTATACTAAAGTTAGTTTCATATTGAATGGCACAAACACATATTTATATGAGATAAGTATGCATATGAATATATAAGTACACTGTAACTTCTTTTTGTCAGTTTGATGAACAATTGCCAATCTCAACACCTTGTGTCTCTGCTGGAGCACGACAAGTGTCTAGTAATCATAGGGTTTTAATGTACTATTAGAGTTGGAATGATTTTAGTTAGATTTTTTGACATGCTTTGACTTCTCTGGATCTAGTTTATGGCAAGAGCAAAGGCCTGGATGTTCCCATTTATTTGATTTTCTAACCCTTGTTTACAGATTTCGTGTTAGATGTATGGTAGAAAATTATAAGTTGACATAGTAACTGCTGAAAAAAATCATGAGAAAAATGATTATCATAACATCAAGACAATGATAGCCAATGCTCTGAGGTCAGGCTATATGGTGAAGGGTTGGAAATGGATTTTAAGTTGTCCTAGAAAGTTCAGACTAGGGTCTCAACATTAAAAGAAAACACCCAAATTGGAAATGGATTTTAAGTTGTCCTAGAAAGTTCAGACTAGGGTCTCAACATTAAAAGAAAACACCCAAATTTTTGTTTGGCTACATGAATCCTTCTTTTATTCAGACTAGGGTCTCAACATTAAAAGAAAACACCCAAATTTTTGTTTGGCTACATGAATCCTTCTTTTATAGCATTTTTGGTTTTACTCATGTTTTATTTGGGACTCCCATAGTTTCACAGCTAATTAATTGTAATCTCATTGCGATCTTGATTATCACACTCCTTAATCTTCATAGAACATGTACAAAACATCAAAAATAACTTTTCCCTCATTTAGGAAGACAAGTCCTCGTTTTTACATAGAAGGAGAGATATTTGAGGAGCTTTCAAAAGTTGAAGGGCTCAATGAGGACGCATAGCTTGTAGCCTACAACTATCTTACTGAGGATGCGGCTCGAGGAAGGAACTTCATTGGGTTACCAATTCATCGGAGGAAAATATGGTTGGAGATTAAGCTTGGATGGGAATCACACAATGTTGGTATCAGTACTAGGAGGTAATTTAATTTACACTCTAATTACATGTTTGCATTTTACCACCTAGTTCATAAGTTTAACTAGGAGGTAATTTAATTTACACTCTAATTACATGTTTGCATTTTACCACCTAGTTCATAAGTTTAAGGTATAATGACAAAAAAAATTTACACTCTAATTACATGTTTGCATTTTACCACCTAGTTCATAAGTTTAAGGTATAATGACAAAAAAACTAACTAACATTCCTTTGCCTAATATAAAAGCCTTCCTGCCTATATAACAAAATTCACAAGCATAAGTATGCGTATTAGTGTATAGTGAAGAAGTGACTTATCTTAAATTCAGTATTATTCAGATCTTCAGTAGGGGAGAAATACTCCAAAACAGAGACACGCAGATGCTTATTAAGAGGTTGGAAATCGTTAGCTTGGCTACATCTGAAAACTTCTGTATGCCCATTCTGTACAAAGACTCAACTCATTAGGTGATAAGAAAACATGGGGACGGTTTATGCAGAGAGATACCTGGTTGTCTGTTGAGTTGTTAAGAAGTTTATGCAGACATTCTACCTGGCTATCTTGGTATCTGAGGTGCTTCTCAGCAATTTCCAGTGGCAAGGAAAGCAACTGCTAGCACATTGTTGGGTTTAGTAGTAATTGCAAATGATAGAATTAGGAATAAATAGCTCATAGAGAATGATCAAACCTGCTATTATGTTTTAGCTGAAAATAATGCCTGACTTCAATTAATCAACGAGGTTGATAATCTAATCCAACTGTAGTTTCTGGGCTTAGATTCTCTTATGACCTACTATTAGTATGAAATCAGGAGCTGTTTAAGTCTAGACCGAACGATTCTTTTAGTATCAATGTCTGCAATCGATCTGTGCTCATTATAGCTGGTTGCTGTAGGCGTCAAAAAATGCTTACAGACATCCAAATACCACTCAAGGCAAAGAGAAGATGATAAACGCCATTATCTTAATCAGAGGGGATCATTCAAAAGAAGCGAGACAACACAGAAGAACAATGTACACACCAACAGGCAGTACACGGCGGCGCGGCTGAGGCGCGGCAGGACATGGTGCCGCGGCTAAGGCGCGGCAGCCCATGGTGCCGCGGCTAGGCAGTGTTGGCTACCGCGGCCAAAGAAGTTTCATCTGGTCGGTTGTTTCACCCCCATTTCAACTGTGGTGCATTCCTACCCCTATAAATACCTCCCTAAGCACGAAATAAAGGGCAGATTGAGAGAGCATTTTGGAGCAGAAGAGACTTGAGCTTTTGGTGATTTTGAGGAAGAAAGAGAGAACTTTCACCCTTTGACAAGCATCATTCGGTGATTCCTAGAGATCTAAGCTTAGACTTGATCTTTGGAAGAGTGAACATCTTACATCGATAAGATATTCGCTTTTAAATCTTTACTTCGATAAACGAAGGAAAGATCCCTAAACACCCTCACGATCTGTGAATCGGTGGTCCACGAGCCAAAGCACTCACGACACAGGCAAAGTCCCACAAAGCAGGAGTTGATAAACAATTTCTGTGTTATTTTCTCGAGAGTTGTATTTTTGTTTATTTTCATTGTAATTTTCTGTAAAACGACTGAAGTTTAATGGAATCGACAATGGAAGCAACTTTCGCTCTGTAGGCGTCTAAAAATGCCTATAGGTATGAATATACCTATCTAAGTCAAAGAAGATCATCCAAAGTCAAAAGAACCAAAGGAACATGTGAAATAACATAGAAGAACAATATGAACACTCGCGATAGGGAACACTGACGCGCATAGGCGCGGCAGTGGAAGGTGTTTTGCTCACAAACAGAGTAATGTGCCTATGGAAAGTTGTAGAGCTCTTCGATAGCTTTCCAACGCATCTTGGATCACTTCATTCCGATATCGGACGAGGAAGTTAAAGCCAAAATACCCGAGACAACGCAAAGTGCCTCGGAGGTGCGCGGCAGTGATAACTGCCGCGGCAATAGTGCGACAGTACAAGGTGACGCGCAAGTAAACAGAGTGAAGCGCCAATGGAAAGTTGTAGATCTCTTCGTTAGCTTTCCAACGCATCTTGGGTCACCTCATTCCGACATCGGACGAGGAAGTTAGAGCCAAAATACCCGAGACAACGCAAACTGTCTCGGAGGTGCGCGGCAGTGATAACTGCCGCGGCAATAGCGCGACAGTACAAGGTGACGCGCAAGTAAACAGAGTGAAGCGCCAATGGGAAGTTGTAGATCTCTTCGTTAGCTTTCCAACGCATCTTGGATCACCTTATTCTGACATCGGACGAGGAAGTTAGAGCCAAAATACCCGAGACAGCGCGAACGGTCTCGGAGGTGCGCGTCAGCAGCGGCTACCGCGGAAATGTATTGCACATTTAAGCCATGATATGATCCAAATCTGAAGAAGCTCAAAAGACAAAAGTTGTAGATCTCTTCGTTAGCTTTCCAACACATCTTGGATCACCTCATTCCGACATCGAACGAGAAAGTTAGAGCCAAAATACCCAGGAGGTGCGCGGCAGTGGTAACTGCCGCGGCAATGCGCGACACCACGTACTGCCGCGGCCACTGGGAAGCTGAACACGTCATTTTTGACAGTTTTCTCGAGTTTTGTGCAGCCCACATGGCTTATTAACTGCTGGGGGTCACTTATGAACGTGGGGGGAAGCAGTTACAAGCGAAAATCATGCCCACTACCCACGAAAATCGTGACATTTAAGGAGTTAAAAGTCGTGGGATGGCGGTTACAAAACAGGGGGGAACCACTCCTTTGACCGCGCCAGCAACGACTACCGCCCACGCCAAAGAAATCTCTTCAGCCGCGACACCTATGTCTGCCGCGCCCAAAGGGGTAGTTGCTGATCGGTTATTTTCTCCAGTTATCATCCAAGAAGACTATAAATACCCTCCTAGGGCCATCATTGATGAGGGGGGCAGATTGGGGAGAGCAATTAAGGCAGAGAGACTTGAGTTTTTGGTGAATTGGAGCAAGAGAGAGGGTCTTCCTTCTTCACAAACATCATCAAGAAGCTTTCGGCGATTCCTAGAGATCTAAGCTCTGACTTGATCTTTAGAAGAGCGAACATCTTACATCGATAAGATATTAGATCTAAGCTCTGACTTGATCTTTAGAAGAGCGAACATCTTACATCGATAAGATATTCGCTTTAAATTCTTACTTCGATAAACGAAGGAAGAATTCCCAAAACCTTCACGATACGATTCAACCAGAATCTGTGAATCGGTGGTCCACGGGCTAACGCACCCCCGGCACAGGCAAAGATCCTACGCAAGCAGCGATCCAAACAACGATCCTGCGTTTGTTTCTAAGGAGCTTGTAATTTGATTTTTTTTGTTGTAAAGAGTAGTTTTACAAAGTACGAAGCTTACTCTTTTGTATTCGCTGTAATCGACAAACAGTTATAATGAATTCTACAACAGAACTTGTTCCTGACGCAAACAGTTGCAAGTTAGCATCATAATGTTAAGTTTGTTACTTTGCTCTGGATCAAAAGTAGAAGGTAACTATTTTTGCTGCTGATTAATTTCACTAGTAGTACCAACCCCTATGCAACCACTTATAATGCTAGTTTTGGCCGTCTACAAGCCACTTCCATCATTTCTGATGATTAGTCTTAAGAAAAGAGCCATGATATGACGAGCAGTAGTTGCATTTTGCTTCTAAAAGAATGTTAAGACTACATTTTATAGGTTTTTGATGTTTATATTCTACTTATTTGAATTTTTTTTGAATTAATTTCAGGAGATGAAGAATGCGAGATTGATGTTTTGATGGGCTCACTAACGTCAAAAACCAAAAACCAAGGACTTTGGCATCTCTCTCTCTCTCTCTCTCTCTCTCTCTCTCTCTCTCTCTCTCTCTCTCTCTCTCTCTGGTTAAGGTTCTCTATATGAAATTGATTGTAATAGATTTTGTTGGTTAAGATCTTCTATATAAAATTGATTGTAATAGATTTTGTGACTAGAAATGAATTGTACTTTATATTAGGAATATCATGACATTTACTTCAGATTTGTTTTGGTTCTTTCATTGACCTTTCTATTGTACTTTATATTAGGAATATCATGACATTTACTTCAGATTTGTTTTGGTTCTTTCATTGACCTTTCTTTCTGTAAATATTATGTGTGAGAAATAACATTTACTTCAGATTTGTTTTGGTTCTTTCATTGACCTTTCTTTCTGTAAATATTATGTGTGAGAAATATTGTTTTTTAATTAGTGGAATTGTGGTTGTGCTTCTGCTTGTTAATATTTACTAATTTTGAATAATTATGCTTGAATTGCATCATTGTCCAGAGCTTATTTGGAATCATCTTTCTTCACCTGAGGTTATGAATAACTTAAGTCCAAGACCATGTAAGATTATACGTAAATTAGAGTCATCGTAAATTTGACTAAATTTTCTTGAGTTAAGATTGTGCAAACATATTCGGTAACTTGTACTTATTGTTTTTCCCTGTAAATTGTATCTTCATTCACATTGTTGATTACATATTTGAAGTAATATATAAATATCATGTATTGATTGCCTTTTACGTGTCGACTTTATTTTATGTGTATGTACTACATATCATGTGTTTCTGCACATCATCTTCAAAATTATAGTAAGTTTTGCAAATCCATAGAAAGCATTGCATTACGCTTTTGTGTTTGGTTCCTACACAAGGGATTCACGTGAACTACATGCCTTCGGAGGCTTTCCAATTCAATATTGAGTGAAGACAGGCTGTGAGCAAAATAATCTATAGTAAGCATTGCATTACTATAGATTCTATTTGGTTCCTCCACAAGGGGCTCCAGTGAACTACATGTCTTCAGATCATTCTCAGGAGACTTGAGTGAAGGTAGGCTATGAGCCATTCATCCATTTGCTTCGAGGATGAACCTCTTAAGTTTATTTCTACCTAACTTCTACCTGATTGATTTTTAATCCATTCTTCTTTCTTTTCTTCCCCATAGCATTTATCTCCCCCCCCCCTCGTTTCTGTACTGATGATACTGATTGTGTCATGTTTGATTTTATGTTTACTGTAGAGAGATTTCTTTAATTAATTAACTTACTAAACATCTTTTAGAAGGAGAAAAACTTTATCGTATGCATCAAATGGACAAGAAGCGTGCTAGGATGAGAAGAATAATGATCATTTTAGAGAAGCATTTAAACAATACAACTGTTCATGAAGGTAAAAATTAAAAGTTCTTCACATATATTGTAAACCATTTTATGTTATGATGTCTAATTAGTTACTTTATATTTTTTATCATATCGTGTTGCAGGTGAATTTGTTATTGTTTATTCAGGCACAAATGATGCTTTTAATGAAACCACAGGAATTAGATGCAACAAGAGGGTGCAAACTTTGAATGAGTCAAGAACACCCATGAGTGATATTTCAAATGGTAAGTGTAAGACAATATTTTTTAGTTTTCATGTTAGAAAAAAATGCATTACAAGAGAGAATATCTATTGAAGAGTTTACAAGTTTTATGAATTGTTATTATGTGCAGCCTTATCAATTAAAGTTTAATCCATTTTTTCCAGACCATTTTGTGATACCTCAATTAACATGTTTATTTGGAATAAATAAATCTTTTAATTATCTATAACTTGCAGTTGGACATTCATTGCTCAATTAACATGTGCAGCCTTATACAAGTTTTATGAATTGTTATTCATGGTATTTTTTTCCCCTCCTATTTACTTTTAGTATTAATAATTCAAGTGTTGTATATAATAGTGTCTCAACAATTTGTATTTGGTATAGGATCTCAATTTATTGAAGGCTTGGATTATCTTGATAGAATAGTAGATGGACAAACTACAATTTCCTAAAAAAATTATGATGTAATTGTAAATTTACTGATAAATAGTTATCAGTTTGTCCAAGGTCGGACATTATGTTTTTTACGCCAATGGAAACATGTTTCTATGTTAAATTTATGCTGATATATGTTATTAAGTTCTATATGGATGCAGGAGAAACTGATAATATAGGTTTAGATGATACCAATGCTAACTTGGAGGTTGAAGGTATTAACTTCAATCATTTATACTTTTTTCTTCTCTTCATATAAAAGTTTGCTCAATGAATATGTCCTTATTTGTGTAGAGGACAATTCTGTAGATGGTAATGACAGCACTATAGAGTTTGAAGGTATGTTACTCTTATTATTAGTTATGTGTTTATAGTTATTGGCCTTGGAATGCAATTGAAATCTATTTCCCCTCTCCTTTTGTAGGCAAAAATGTTTCTTCTATAACTTCTTATGAAGGTACTTAATTTGATCCCCATTGCATAATTTTTTTAACTATATTTACTCAATCAGTCATATAATCATAACTTGATATTCTAAACACATGAATTCAGATTATTGGGGCATTATTACTGTAGCATAAACGTATAATTCTAGCATTTAAAAAACTATTGTGGCATGTAAAAAAGAATTACTGTAGCAGAAACAAAAAAAGGTGGGGACGTGCTTTGCACGAGGTGCACACTAGTGAAATTGATTGTAATAGATTTTGTGACTAGAAATGGATTGTACTTTATATTAGGAATATCATGACATTTACTTCAGATTTGTTTTGGTTCTTTCATTGACCTTTCTTTCTGTAAATATTATGTGTGAGAAATGTTGTTCTTTGATTAGTGGAATTGTGGTTGTGCTTCTGCTTGTTAATATTTACTAATTTTGAATAATTATGCTTGAATTGCATCATTGTCTAGAGCTTATTTGGAATCATCTTTCTTCACCTGAGGTTATGAATAACTTGCAAGTCCAAGACCATGTAAGATTATACGCAAATTAGAGTCATCGTAAATTTGACTAAATTTTCTTGAGTTAAGATTGTGCAAACATATTCGGTAACTTATAATTTTTTTGAGAATATGATAGAATCACAATTTAATTTAATTATTTTTTGTAAATTATTTAAAATCTAAATCTAATTCCAAAAAGTATGAATTAAAATTATGTTATGATAATTTTCTTCCTCTTTTTCTCAGAAAGGTAACCAAACAAGAGAAAATGACTTTCTTATGAATTTTCTTCTAACTTTCTTTTCAATATTCTTTCTAACCAAACAATAAAAAGAATATCATTTTTTTTTCTTTCTTTTTACTTTCTCTTTCTTTTTCTTTTCTCTCCCTTTCTCTCAAACCAAAACATAGCCTTAGTGAAGACCGTTAAATGGACTTATGCTGCACTATTGTAAATGTTAGAGGATACATGAAATATTGTTGTATTATCTTTTTACATATTGCTCCTCTTCTCGCTTGGAGTAGGTAGCTTCTTCAGGCTCATGTTAGAAACAAGTAGTCAAGGACGGATTTATGTTGGGACTTGTGAGTAGGGGTGAGCATGGTTCGGTTCAAACTGAAAAAACCGACCGAACCGACCCGAAATTAGCAGTTCGGTTCGGTTTTGTTTGTAGATCGGTTCGGGTCGGGTTTAAAATTTTTTAGCCCGAACCGCCCGAACCGACCGCATTACTAATAACCTTTTAATTTTTTAACCCGTACCCATTACAAACCCGACCCGTTCACTCATCCTAAACCCTAAATCCAAGCCCTCACGCTACAGCCGCCACCCCTTCCTCAGTTCTTCTCTCTCACTCTCTCTCTGTCCTCCCTCCGCAGTTCCGCCGTCACCCGCAAACCGCACTTCATCTCTTTCTCTATCCGCACTTCCCCCCTCTGATCTCTCTCGCTGGGGGATTGCGAACGGCGGGTGTGGAGGGTGAAACAGAAGAAAAAACATGCCCTCAAAATGGACAAGCTTGACCTCTCTCACTCACTCACTATATACTCTAAAAAATAGAAGCAAAACCCACAAAGCTCTCAGCTTGCCAAGGAAAAATGAGCTCTGTTAACGAAGACCTCAAGGGCCAAAGAGGGGTTCTTCCCCCTTCTTTCAAATTTTCAATTTTGGTTTCTTCTTTCACTGGCTTCGGTTTCTTCTGTTAACCCTTTCTTAATTTTTGAGAACATTAAGTTTCATCTCTTGCGTTCATGTTGCTAACTTCCAGCGAATTCTCGTTGACCCAACACAAAAAAAACCCTCTTCTTTTAATTTTTGCATGTCTTTATGCCATTCAGCTAGCTTCTCCAATTATTTGGGTTCAATCGTCCTTCTTTACCTCAAATTACTGTAGGATGGTGAAGTTGATGGCTCAAAGTTCACGAAGTTTTCTGGACCAAGGAATTTTGATGGACAACCTGAAGCAGATAGAGAAGTCGACGGGAGGCATGCTTCGAGAGCAAAGAATGGGTCAATAGCTATACTTTTTATTGTTTTTATACATTTTGCTTTACTCTTGCATTCTATTTGTCTTCTTCCTACATGTTCTGTAATATTCAATGCAGAGATGCATTTTCCTCCCCCTTCTGTTGGATTATGGCAGCTTGTCTGTTTAAGTTTTAAGTTCGATGAAGTTAGAACCGACAAACCGAACCGAACCGCACCGAACCGACTTGCAACGGTTCGGTTCGGTTTTGAGTAATGGTTGGTTCGGTTCGGTTGTTTAAAATTTGATAAAAACCGAACCGAACCGAACCGTGCTCAGCCCTACTTGTGAGGGCACTTGCCCCCATGAAATTTTCAAAATTTTACTAAAAGATATACAAATCTGCACGATGCCCCTATAGAATTTTAGTAGGTGCCACCCAAACTACAAAAAATGTGACCAAATAGAGAACAATTGTGAAGAAAATATTGTTGCAACCTAATAGATAGTATTTTGTTAATTTTTGTGATGAAAATGAAAATGATCATATATTCATATGAAAATGCTAGTGAAAAGTTATATAATTGAGATATTTGTTTTTATCGGTAGAATTTATATTATATAAGTTGTTAATTTATATACATAGTTTTATTTGTATATAATCTACCCCATAATGCAGAGCAACTCCGGCTCAACTAGGAGGTTTCCCCCCATTTTACCAGCGAGCAGGTAAAATGGTTACAAGGGCTTCACAAAATGATATCGTCCGTGTGTTTTACAAGG